TGTTTTTGACTAGGATTGCATTTATTCAAAACAATACAATTTAAAATGAATTATTTTAAAATTTATTGTCTTCTGTTATATTTAAAATTTATTACTTTATAATTTCCTATTATTATGTAACTTTAATTTTGTTAAAAAGAATTGGGTCACAGTTATAATGAAACTGATGAATAACAATTTGTAATTAAAGCATAAATAAATAGTAACTAATATATGCAAAAGTATATTTATATATTGTTTATTGTTGATATAAACAATAAAGTAATAGTTCCCGGAAAAATGCGTCCCACTTCAGAACGTTTCCATTTTTAATTGTGTCGTAAATATAGTCAAAGACGAGCAAGACGAGCAAATTTCTCACTTTAACTCTCTTCTTCTACATTTATTGTCCAAAGAAAGAAATTTTGTAAACGATTTAACTGTAAAAGTGTGCTTTCATTTTTTAAATATAAAAATAAAAAAAAAAAACATATTAATAAATGTTTTATAGAAAATATTTTATATGGTAGTATTGATTGATAAGATATTACAATAACATTATTTGTGTATTTCTACCTATAAAATATGAAAATACTAACATAATTTATAAATTTTGATATAATAAGATAACTTGTTGAAGTCAACAACAGTTGATTTAAAGATTCAGCAACAGTTCTATGTTTTTTTTCTAATTCTTAAATTATATATCTCAAAATTTTTCGGTACTTCTGGCAATTTTTGAATTTCTGCTCTAATATGACAGATTAAAACTTGATTTTATTAGTACAATTATGCAAATGTGTATGAAATTATATGAATACGAATATGATAATATAGTAACTTTGAGTAACACTGTGTATACACAAGTGCGTTCCACCAGCAAATTTTCGAGTAAATGAAAGCACCTGAGAGAGCGTAACATCCCTGTCGAAATTTGAAAATGCTACACAGACTTTACTCGTACATTTTATTTCAAGTAAAATTTGTGTGATGTGTAAATCAGCTGTTTGGTTTGAATTAAAATTTTTATATTGTTTATTTGCGCGGTACTGATGTTTTTACCAGACTTTACACAAAGCTGTTTCATAAAAATCTATGAAATGAGCAAAATTTGCCACTTTATTTGTGTTACGCTCTTAGTTTGTACTTTACTTGTGTTTTACTTGAGTTTTACTACGAGTAGCTCGTGGAACAGACCTTATATTTACACTTAAAAATATCGAACCTAACCAGGTTCGAAAACCGTTGACCGAAAATAAATTGCTTCAAACATTTTTAAGAAAATAGTAGCAACAAAAATTTGAGCTCATATTTAACTAAATAGTTATTATTCTAACAATTCTCATTCTTAATATTATGAATGCTTTATATAATGAGCATTTTAAAATAAAACTAAAAAAGTAATAATTAAATATACTTCATATTATATTTTTCAAAAATTATTATTATGTGCATTTAATTTTTCCACGCACAAAAAACTGTTACACTCAACTTTTTACCTTAAAACGCGCAAATAACTATTATTTTTGCCTTAAAAATTTAAACATCGGGAATAACTTTTATTTTTGTAAACAAAATGCATATAAATACAAAATATAAAAGATTGATGTTCGTAAATATTACTTTTAGTTTTCGTTTTTGTATTGTTTTGTGTAAAAAACTAAACAATTTTTTTTTTTAATAAATTTCAAAAAAAAACTATCTTACGAGCAAAGCGCGTTTTATATTTTTGTTTTTAAAAATAAAAGGCACGCAGTGTGAGTTATATTTTGTTTTCAAAAATAAAAGTTATTCCTGATTTTTATAATAATCATACATAATAGTTATTTATACCATTAAAATAATAAAAGCAGAGTGTAATATGGCGTTTACACTGACCGAAAATGACTCATTTCAAATGAGTCATTTGAAACTGCTTACATTCGCTGTAATTCATTTGTTCTCAATTCAAAAAGCTGATTTTTCAACTTGCCTGTTGATTTGATTTTTGACCTCTGCCAAAAAAATGTTGCATGAAGGTTAAATATGCCTTCAAACCTTACAATATAAACTTAAAACTTATTTTTAGCTTCAATTCATTTATTTTTGGGAAATAGAAATTCCAAAAGGAGGTGCATCGTCTTAAAGGAAATGCAACCACCAAACATTTGTTCACCTTTTTTTGAAAATATGTCAGAAACAGTTTTCTCAAACTGTCAACATGTCATGAAAAGGTTTTATTTAGGGTATGTATTAATTTGCATTTGGAACATATTTGGAACTCATTCTAACCACGTTGGAACTCATTTATACAGAATGAGTTCCGCTTGAGATTTTGTATGCAAAAATGAATCATCATTTTTGATTTTTGACCAAAATGAACCATTTAAGTCCAGTGTAAATGCCATATAATAACAATTAATTTTGAAAAATATGATGTAAAACAGATTTAATTATTTATTTTTAATATTATTTTAAAATGCGAATAATAAGACTTATTAGTTGATTTTTATTTTTTTAACGATTACTGTTACTGTCCCTGTTATTTACCCAAGTATCCTGTTCAAACTGCAATTATTTATTGTAATAAGAAAAAAGTATTGCAAATACTCAAGAAATAAATATACATATAACCTCGTCATTTAACTATTTTAGTTATTTGTTTACCTTCTGTAAATTCAACACAAATTGTCTTCAAAATATAATATCGAAAAATAAAATAATTACTGCTTTTTATGCTTCGAGTTTACTTATTTTTAAATAAATTTTTTTTATGAATATTCTTAAGATTGTTATCAATTAATCAAAGAGATGCATTTTATTTATTATGAATTAATTACTTATTTTCATTTATTTTCTATTTCTTATTTTCACTGAAATCAATGAAAAATTTAACAAGTATGGCAAATGTCAAAAACAGATTTTAATATTATTTAGGTCTGTCACAAATACTTTGAGTATGTTCAGTGCTTAATTCTTACAAAATTCATATAGAACCTTGCGCTTAAATGGCAATACATCTAGTACTGCAAAATCTGCAATAACAATTGTATGTCACCTCGTTACGATTCGTTTCTTTATTAATGCTATTAGTTATAATTAATTATGCCACTTGAACGAGTAATAAGTGCTATAAGTTTCTACATTTAAAAATATTTATTAAATAAAATTGCTAACTGAAATTATTAAATAATTGTTTGTGGTTTTCAACTCAGTGATAATTTTGAATGTGGAACTTGAAGTGATGCCACTTTGGCCAAATGTCAATCCTAGATATTAAAAAAATTGAATTATTAGTTGTAACATTAATAACAAGTCATAAGTACTCATAATTAATTTATAATGGAAGAGAATTTTTTTACATGTAGTTAATATTTTAGTTTGTTTTTAATATTGTAATTTTATTTACTTTTTATGCGGCAAGTTGAGTGCGTTATCTAGTTGAAGATAGTTAGCTACTATACAATCTTTTCTTTTTTCTTTAAATAATCTTCCATCAATCATTGTGAAAATTTTCCTTAAATTTTATTTTTTAAAATAATATTGTGGATTAATAAAGAAATGAATTTTAATTTCGCTAGGAAGTTATAGGATTTATTTCAAACAGTCAATAAATGTATAAACAGTAATGAACAGAAAAAAATAGTAACTAGAAAACAAGAGAAAACGTAAAGCTGAAAAAAATGTAGTATGTGTAAAATATTTCATTACTGACAAAACAAAAAGCAATTTAAGAAAGTACACATATAACACATTTCTGTTTGAATATTTGTAACAAAGACTATATTTTAGAGGTGTTTTAATTAAAGAAATTCGTTGTTATTCTGTCTTTTGTTATATAAAAATTGAACCAAATCTGCAATTAAAAATCTTACGCCCTGTGGGTGACGCTCTTTATTAAACGCCTTGGATTTAACGTGTTTCAGAACTATAAATAAATTAAAACAGTTTTATATATTTTTAAATTACATTTTCTATGAAAAGTGTATATTTTGTACTTTTAAATCATACCTAAACTACTTTAATATCGTTGTCAAAAAGTGAGAAATATTGTCGTCAACTACAAACCATGAGTTCAAGGAGCACAGCTCCCAAAAAGGAAGGAAAGATGCGTATTCGCGCCTTTCCGGTAAGTTATTTAATATGTTTATAATGAATTACTAAGTATTTTTACTTATATACATTTGTAAAATTAATTTGTTTTCGAATCAATTAACTAATTTATGCATATTCGGCTTAAGTGCAGATATTCGCAATACATATAAGTATGGCGGTGTCTTGCAAAAAATCGCTGATACAACATCTATGTCACATATTTTAGTATATTCTTAAAACTTACTCGTATTATGTCTACAAAAATTTAGTTTTTCTAAATATGAATATTTCTTTGTTGAGACACACAGTGCTTTTAAAACAATATGAAATATTGCAATATCTAAAAGGTAATCATATTGGGTCACAACCATTATTAATTATTTATAATTGCCAAAAGGACGATTTTAAAAAATTAGTTATATAAACTAAATAACTAAATATAACTAAATATGTAATATAAAAAAAAATGTCCAACATGTCCTTTAATTGTAAATTGGTAGATACATGTTCTATTACATTACATGTTTTTATCCATTATCGTAACATCCATTATCTGTGAAAGACATTTAGACAGTCTTTTTTTAATTCTTAGTTCAGTCTTTTCTAATAAAAGTGGAATCTTACTGGCATGGTAAAATACACATTATATGATCTATGCCTTATATACGAACATGCATAAACCCAATATTTTATATACTAGCGCAATTGAATATATATATGCTATTCATATATATATATATATTCATATATATATGATATATATTGATATATATATCATATATATATATCTATCATATCATATATATATATATCTTCGATCCATGCACAGTTTTATGTATTAATTCATAATTAATATAGATTTACCTTAAAAAAAATTTGAATGACAGCTTAATATATATAAATTTATATCTGATTTTTAAATGTTTGTCAAATGTTACAACACTAAAAGTGCATATGAATATTTTTTATTGGAAATTTATTTTGAAAATTTGTGTATCGTTTGTTTCATCCGCTTTACATTCCTGGGGTTTTATGCTGATATGCCAAAATTAAATTTTGGTTAGAAATTGCGATATTCCCAAAAATTTGACAGAGTCAAATATGTAAATTGAGAATATTGCAAACATTTTAAACTAACTTTCTTGAAATTAATTGAAATGTCTACCGAAAATATATTATCTATTGACGGAAACGTCAGAAAACGTCGATCTAGCACTGATCAACATTACAATTGTGTACCTGAGATAAAATGTTCCAAAACTGTAGATGAAAATTTGGATAATAAACCAAGTACTTCGAAGAGTTACGAAGATTCGAAACTTCCCACGCTTGATGAAATAAATCAGAAATATCCATTATGGAGACCCGAGTATAATAAGTATACTAATGTTAGAATCAATTTGATTTTCATTTTTTTAAATAATTAATATTTGGTTTGAGTAAATTTAAAATTTATAATACTATATAATTCATTGCAGGCCTCTATGGATGAGAAATATGTAGAGACGATTTGGGCGAGTCTAAAGAATGCCATCCAGGAAATACAAAAAAAGAACAACTCAGGGCTCTCGTTCGAACAATTATATAGAAACGCATATAATATGGTTCTTCACAAACATGGAAATCGTTTATATTTTGGGCTACGAGAAGTTGTGTCTGAACACTTAGAGCAAAAAGTACGTCAGGAAGTATTAGAAAGTCTGCACAACAATTTTTTGCCTAAACTCAATCAAGCTTGGAATGATCATCAAACCTCAATGGTAATGATACGTGATATACTTATGTACATGGATCGTGTCTATGTCCAACAGCGTGAGGTAGATAATGTTTATAACTTGGGGTTAATCTTATTTAGAGATCAAGTAAGTTATTTTTTAAAATAAGTAAAACAACAATTCAAAGCTCCATTTCTGGAATAGATTGTGCGATACACGGAAATACAAAAAGCTTTACGTGAAACATTACTAGATATGGTAATGGATGAGAGAAGCGGTGAAGCGATAAATCATTTAGCGATAAAAAATGCCTGCCAAATGCTTATGTCATTGGGAATCAATACTCGTTCCGTATATGAGGATGATTTTGAAAAACCTTTTCTAGCACAATCAGCCTCATTTTATAAATTTGAATCGCAAAAATTTCTTGCAGAGAATAATGCAGGAGTGTATATCAAAAAAGTTGAGGTACGTATAGAAGATGACATTTCTTCAGAATCATTCTAAGAACACACAATTTTTAAATAGGCCCGCATACAAGAAGAATCAGCTCGTGCTGCTCTTTACCTGGACAAAGACACTGAGCCACGTATTGTAAAAGTAGTCGAAGATGAACTTATTAAGAAACATATGCGAACCATAGTTGAAATGGAAAATTCTGGTGTTGTATATATGATAAAAAATTCAAAAACTGAGGATCTTGCGTGCACTTATAAGTTATTCTCCCGTCTCAAAGAGGAAGGTCTTAAAGTTATCGCTGATACAATGTCAGCATATTTACGTGAGCAAGGACGAATGTTAGTAAAAGAAGAGGAAACGGATAATACAAACCCAATAACATTTGTTCAAAACCTCTTAGACTTAAAAGACCGATTTGATCAATTTCTACATCATTCATTTAATAACGATAGAATTTTTAAAAATGTTATTTCTTCCGATTTCGAACATTTTCTTAATTTAAATACGAAATCACCAGAGTACTTGTCGCTTTTCATTGATGACAAACTTAAAAAGGGTGGTAAAGGAGTAAGTAATGTTGAAAACCCAATTTAAATAAAATATTAAATATAATTTATTAATTTAGATGAGCGAGCAAGAAATCGAGACAGTATTGGATAAAACAATGGTATTATTCCGGTTTTTATTAGAGAAAGATGTTTTCGAGCGTTATTATAAAACACATTTAGCGAAACGGTTACTTCTAAACAAATCAGTCTCCGATGATTTCGAGAAAAACATGATTTCCAAACTAAAGGTATAGAAACTTAAATATTGTTTATAAACATAATCAACTGTTAGAAATTTATAGACTGAATGTGGTTGTCAATTTACTTCGAAATTGGAGGGAATGTTCAAGGATATGTCTGTATCTAACACTATAATGGAAGAATTTAAGAGTTATGTAAATAATAATAATTTATCACTATCCGGGGTCGAATTAACAGTGCGTATATTAACGACGGGATTTTGGCCAACACAGGTAAATTCCCTATATTATATGTAAATATTTATTACCTTTTTATGTTGTTATGCCAATAATGAAAAATTATAAAAAAAAACTGATTGCGCCATCCTCCCTTGTATGTATTGGTAAAGTCACTTGTGACGTCATGTGATATTGCGTTTTTATTGATCGAAACCAATGTGTTGGTTTGTTCACAATTCCCGCCGCATACATCATGTTGTCAAGTTTTCTGTTTACATATTTTTACTTTGTTTTGTAGTTTATTTATGTTATATTTAGAATTGCATGACAACTTACACTTTGAAATAGTAAAATTTGTAAAATCCATCAAAATATATAAAAAAAATATTTTAGAGTTCTCGCGCTACCTTTTTTTATCAAAATTGTGGAATTAAATTTTTGAGATTATTTGACTTACATTTAAACTGCAATTTCTTTTTAATAATTATCTACAATTACTCGTGAACAACGTAGTTCCTGTTAAAAACTAATTTTGAATTATATTTTTAAATAATAGAAATATTTATTTGAATATGATATGATAACCGTATAAAAAAATTTGGCTATCACGTTATTTCATTTGTGATATGATCTATTGGTACTTCGTTCGAATGTTACAATTTGGTATTTAATCATTATTGGCATATACTATTAAAATAAAAATATTCTAAACTAACTTATCTTCAATCTGATGCAAAACTACTGCCTGCGCACATCTGTTCCATGTGCATATTCTGATTTTTCCTGGTTTTTAACATCGAATGGTTAAATCATCAATACTATCGAATGGTTTCGTAAAGTAGATTCAGCTCAAAATGGCTGAAATTTGTAAATGTTCAATTAAGGATTCATCGAAAACTTTAAAAGATTCAAAACTTTAAGATTATAGTTATAAATAACCAGCTAACGCATACCCAAGCTGGGCAAATCCACTTTGTTACACTACCCAAACCAGTTTTTTAGGGATACCACATTGTATACTCAATGCTCAATGTCTAATTTCGCGCATTAGTTGATCAGTTCGCTAGGGTTGTGAAATACTATAGCTGCGTTGCAGGTTTTCAGGTCTTTTTGCTAGAGCTAAGTTTTGATAGTTTATTTAAATAATAAACTTAAATTTTCAAAATTTTAGCAATAATATAATTTTCAAAAGTGCTTCTAAATAATATATATTACTATTAGTGTTAACTTAAATGAATAAGAAATAAAACATATGAGAACGTTAAATATTTCAGACATCTACTCCAAACTGTAATATACCGGTGGCACCTAGGGAAGCATTTGAATGTTTCAAGAAATTTTACTTAGATAAACATTCGGGCAGACAGTTGACACTACAGCCTCAAATGGGTAAGCATTACATTGTAAATATTACATAAAAGCTTAAAGGATAACACAGTTATTTTTAATTGCAGGTACTGCTTACATAAATGCTGTTTTTTATGGACGAAAAAATGATACAGAGAAGGATAAAGATGGTCCTAGCTCTAGCGTTATGTCTTCAACAACAAATTTTCAGGTGCCAACCACAACCAGAAAGCATATACTACAAGTTTCAACGTATCAGGTTAATCATTTAAAAATATCATAATATAAAATGAAATAGTATTTATAAACTTTTAATTCATTTACTACAGATGTGTGTACTAATGCTCTATAATAATCGAGAGGTGCTTACCTATGAAGACATTCAACAAGAAACAGACATACCTGAAAAAGAGTTAGTACGGGCATTACAATCTTTGTCTATGGGAAAACCAGCACAGCGCCTACTTGTACGGAATTCAAAAACTAAAACGAAAGACATTGATCCCACTGATGAGTTTTATGTAAATGATGCCTTCGTATCCAAATTTACCAGGTACTTGAACTTGATTCATATATAATTTAAAAAGGAAAGCACTGAATGTGATGTATACATGTTTAAAAACTATTTAGTTATTATAATTGTAGTTTCTTTGGTGTTAGACCTATATGAACATTCATTACTTTTGATAAGTTTCATATGTTTAGTTTAAAATAATTTATATTTTATGTAGATCACTGTTTGTGCCATAAACAAAAATAATGTGGTTGTCTGTAAATTAGTTTTGTTTGTATTCAATATTGTAAGTAACTATGTTTTCCAGGATATATATCATGATGATATTATAAATATAATTATTCACTTAACCTGTAATTACTTGTGTACTTGGTTGGTATTTTTCTTTTATCTAGTTTCTATATTCCTAGTGCAGCATATCGATTGTTATGTTCTCACTCTATTGTTCATATTGACTGCTTACTGGAAAACATTATATAATTTAATTTGCGTATTGGACGCCATTGATACATTGTAAACGCTAGACATATGTTGCTTAGTCATACCATTGACGACTATAAACACACGCACTAATGGAGTAGTTTGTTCGAGTTGCATACTGGCATATTCTTTAGTCCTCACCTTGCTCTTTAAAAAGGCACAAATGGAATAGTCCATCGGATTTGCATCTGGCGAATATAAAACCTATTGTTAGAACGAAGTGAAGTGTGGAGCATGATTTTATAATCATTTTTGGTTCACACGAGCTTTATGAGACGGCGCCAAGTTGGTGTCTTATTAACGTCCATGGTGTACAATCGAAATGTTTACATGCCCGCGAATCTAAAGCAACTTCCGAAAGATTTTCCCGATAATAAATTAAATTGACTTTGACATCAGGTTCTATGAAAACGATTGAAGAGCGTCCATCCGCAGTCACAGCTGCCCATACCATTACTTGAGATGGAAAATTACTTTGGGTAGCCATTTATAGTCTCAAATTTTTGGCAGTGCGTTCAGTTTAGTAAACACGATCATTTTGAGCAGTTAGAGTTTATGAATTGCTCAATGGAGAAATTTTTCTCATCAGAGAACGCAATGGAAATTCGATACGTACGTGCAAGCAAAATAACTACTTTGAACTTTCAAGTGTAATTATTTTTTGCTTTGGTGTAAGATCTTGTTCCTTTTAGAATTTGTAAGGCTTTACCTTGAGCTTATTTTGGAATATTCGTCGGATGCTTTGCTAGGATATTTTCAGTTCTTTGACCATTTGATTGCCATTACGACGTGGCTTTCGTTTAAGTCGAGCCTTCACTTTCCGAACCATTTCAGGTGATGTTGCTATTTTTTTTTTCGTTCAACAGCATAGCGTGCTTCTACCGAAATTTACAATGTTGGAACTTATTTTCTAACAATTAAGTATTTATCTTGCGATTTTGGCTATTCTACTAATCACAATAGCTAACTTAGTGTGTTAATATGTCTTAAAAAAATAGCTGCTCTACACATCCTACGATGTAAATTTCTGGATTCGCGCCTGTATATAAATATATTTAAATAATATATTAACACAATTAAAAAGAATATAAATAAAGTATTGAATTATAATTTTTTATTTATATACTAGAGTTAAAATTCAAACTGTTGCCGCAAAGGGAGAATCAGAGCCCGAACGTAAAGAAACTCGTGGTAAAGTTGATGAAGATCGTAAACATGAAATTGAAGCAGCTATCGTACGAATAATGAAAGCGAGAAAACGAATGGCGGTATGTATAAAGTATATAGTATATCTATGTGTGTATTATATGAAAATATATATTTATACATACTACAATAATTATGTTTAATATTGTACAATTCTAGCATAATCTACTCGTTTCCGATGTGACGTCTCAACTTAAGTCTAGGTTCTTACCATCACCTGTATTTATTAAGAAACGAATAGAAGGACTTATTGAACGAGAATATTTAGCAAGAACCCCAGAAGATCGAAAAGTTTACGTTTATTTAGCATAGGCTTTTATAAACGTTACTACAATTTTAAGTGCACCACCCGTCAGACACAAAATCATTACACGAACAGTTTATCTATACATCTCCCTAAATTACGTCACTGAACTTCTCAAACTAATAACCGAAATTTATGGAACTTTGTTTCCTACAGTTATAAACTTTTATTTTATATTTTACAAAAAATTTTTTTGTCTTTTTCCCTAACGTACAACTTTTTTATAAGATTCATAACTTAATTGATTTTACAATAAAAAAATAAAAATAGTAATGTGGAATGAAGTATTGGTGTGAGAGTTGTTATATATGTCTAATATATACATCCATATATATTGTTTATAAATATATGTCTATTTATATGGCTATATATCCATATGTATTGTGTATATATGTGTCTGTATGTATGTACATATATATATGTGTATATATTTGCCTATACATATATCAATATATATGTCCGTATATTTATAAATATCCACCATATGTATGTTGTAATATTTTGGCATATATGAAAAATTGTCTATACATTTCATTTACAAAACAATAGCTAGATACATGCAACAACATAAAAAAGTTTTGTTAACATATTTATCTAATCTAAATATTTATTATTTTCTCTTAAACATTTTTAAGACTGTTCTCACTCTCGGAAAATAACTGCAATAGCATGATCGTGTATACATAAAGCAGTGTAACATTTATATATTTATTTTAAATATTTCTTATAAATTAATTTTAAGAATAGAAAGCTTTCGAATTAAATGAAATTGTATATTGAATTTTTAATAAGAAATATGAAGTGCTTATTTAAATAATGCTAAAATTAATTACTTACAAATCCTTGGGCTTTGAAATACATATTTTTAAAATTTGCAAATCATAATTGAAATTTTTATATATGTAAACAAAAATTGTGTTTAAATTTCTATTTTTATTTAATTAATTTAATTAGGATAAATTTTAAAATTCGTAATATGAATACAGTTTACAGATTTGCAGGGTTGCAGGTTTAATGAAATAAGTTTTTAAAACTATAAAAAAAAACTACTGAAGCAATTGTATTTAATTTATAATCTTGCACATTTAATATTATACAAATTCAGTGCACAATGGGTACTTAAATGTTAATTTCATACTTCCGTTTTTTTTTTTTTGTTCAATTGAAAATGTTTTATGGGAGACTAAAGATGGAAATCGCTTTTCTTTTTTTTTCATATTTTTATTTTCTTCTCACAGTAGCAATAGCAGCTATACTACTAGTATTATTACTATTTGACTGCTAGTCAAATTATAATAATTAAAAAATCTTATCCGTATTTATCTGATGCGAACATAAAACTAAGAATTTTCATGTTTATAATTTTTAAAACCAATTCCCTTGCCTTATATTACCATTTGATTTTAGTTGCACAATTCTTATATTAAATCAACATACATCCTTACTTTTTCTGTCTTAAAATTACTTGTTGCCATTATGAATATATGTTTGGTTTGGTTCTTCATTTCACTGGCAAGCAGTTATTGCTTAACTTATATACATATGTATATTATATATATTGTATATATTATACATATTATATATATTATATATATTATATATATTATATATATTATATATATTATATATATTATATATATTATATATATTATATATATTATATATATTATATATATTATATATATTATATATATTATATATATTATATATATAATATATATTATATATATTATATATTTTATATATATTGTATATATTATATTTATTATATTTATTATATATATTATATAAGTTATCTTAAAATAACCAAGAATAGAACGTGCAAGAACGTGAAAGAAGAAGAATAAAATAATAACAATTGACAAATGAAAAAATTTTGTTAGGCTTATAAATTTTTATGAAAAACCTGAAACATTTTCAATGACTGACTTTATTAATTTGATTAAGAATTTTTGTTGATTTGTTGTTCACTACTTGCCACTCCCTAAGTGATATGAGATAAAAATAAAAACGAATTATTTCTAAATTCTATATCAAAATATAAGTGCCATTTGCACTGAAAAACGTAGAGTCCATAGAGTAATGAAAAAAAGCTTATTAAATTGAACCCGAAAGACGGCAAATATAAGACGCATGATTGAATGTAAAAATAATGTGAAAGATGATAAAAATTATATTTTGAGATAAGTTAAATTATTCGGTTTACATTAAATAAAAATGAATGAATACACCATTGATAATATTCGTTGAAAAGTTTTTAAAACCATTGACTTTTTCCTATTTTAATTATTTTCGATAATACAGTGAAAACTTTATTAACCGAACATCGGCAGTAGTAGCAGTTACATCCGATTGAGAGAGTTGCCCATTTAAAAGAACGTACCTTATATGAAAAGTGAAAATTGAGACTAGCAAAATAACACGGTTAAGAGAGATGTCTCTTCCTCGGAGCGACCGTTTAATAGAGCTCTCACTATAGATACTTCTACAGGCAGTAATCTTTTTACTGTAAAATAATTACTAATGTATTTCAAATATCTAAGAGTTCAGCAATACATTTTTGTTTGTTGATTTAGATATTATTCTTTCTACTTTAGCTCATTGCAATAGTAATGTAAATACATTAACGAAAAGTACTCTTCACTACTTTTGCTTTATTATACTAAAAAGTTGAATGATTCAACCAATCTCTATTAATAAGATAATTCCTCCTGAAGAATCACTGTCACATATTCATACTGAAATTATCAGGACTTCGGGCTGGTAAATTTTTGGCATTTCGATTTAATTAAAACAAATACATGGATGCGATCTGATAAATATATCAGTTTTTTTTCGGTTTTGAGTTCAGTTTCATGTGAATATTTTTTACGTATATACTGTTATAACTATTTGTCATTAAACTATTTATACCCATATATAGGAACGTACCGAACTGTACAATGTTAAACCGATATTTTTTAGTCTGGTTCCAGTTCGGTAAAGGCATAGGTGATTTCTGTTTTCGATTCAGTCTCGGTTTGAAACTGTGCAAATTATAGTTATATATATATGTCTTAGAAAAATTAAATATTTTTTATGATATAATAATAATTTGAACAATGTTGCTCTTTATATATAACATCGCGCTCGGTGTGCGAGGTATTTTAACTGCGAATTGAGTATTTAGGTGAAAATAAATTTATATAACAGAGGTATCTATATATTCTTGTCTTTATAAATCTTTCAGTCTTAGCTCTTTCCACATGAATTAATTAATTAGGTGAGCTAAGATCATACCACACCTTGTAATCCACTCAAACTACTCTAAAGGTCTCTTCCGGTTACGAGAACCACAGCTAAGAATATAGCAACGTATTGAGTTTTTGTTCAAAATGCAAACGATAAATTTATATTTTAATATCGTTTTTTTGTACAAAAGACAAAGTCAAAGAAATATGTTAAGATGCTTTCTACAGAATTCTTAAAGTTAATTTTTAGAGAAAAAAGATTCGGACATAAGAATTTCAATTTAAGACATTAAGTTAAAGTTTTTAGTAAATAATTGTAAGTTCATGCTAAAAAAATTGTTATTAAATAATGTTTTTAAATATAATTTAATTATGTATAGATTATGTTAATGTTTCGAGAATAAGTTAATGATTTTATTTGAGATAGTTATTATTATTTGCTTTAAAAGGTTCTATTGAAGTATAATATTGGAGATATATTAACATAATTAATTTTATAACTGATATTTGAGGATTTATATGTGTACGATGTGGTATCTAAAAAGCTAGAAAAAGAATAGATCCTTAGTTATGATTCAATGAATAGATTTGAGATTTTCATTATTCTATTGTAACATAATTTTGTAATCTTCAATAACAGATATATTAATACTATAAGCGAATAAATTTTTTAAAAAATAACTTCATTTGGTATTCTAATTATTTTGTTTCATATAATATTATTATTATAATTTAAGCTTGTTGCGTCGTATGATTTCGTTTTATATTTAGATAATGACATGTATTTCTAAGCTTACAGCCTCACAACCTTTCACCTCTCCCAAATAGAGACTAGAAACATATATTGCAATGATTTACTACAATAACAATAGCAGTTGCTGGAAATTAAATAATGAAAAAATATAATGCATAAGGAGAGCAATCAGAATATATAAAAGCGAATCAGAGAAGATATATACCAGCTGAAAAGCAGAGTCATTCGGTTTGTCAGACGACCAAGTGCTACTGACCTGCTCTAACAGAGACTTAAGAATCAAGTTTATTGCTTGCGTTACAACAACAACTAAATATATATTTTTTTTAATATTGTATTATGGTATATGTGGCGTCGATGACAGTAGAGATGTATTAGAGTTAATGATGCATCATAAAATTGTTCTTGAAATAGTTTTTTATTTAAATTATATTATATTATTAAATTTGAGTAGTGTATATAACTATTTTAATAGATTAGAATAATAATTTCCATTTCAAATCAAAATGAAGTTGTAAGGATGGAAATTTGTGTCAATTTCCAATCTGTAAAAACTGAATAACACAGTACTACTTCTATCTGCATAATGGTTAATAATAATTGTTGGAGATATCTGAAAAAAAAAATTGGTTAATTTTTATAATTGATTTATTACACGATAAAAACACTAGCACCGGCACTAACAAAGCGGTTTTTATAAAATCAAAACAAAGCAAATAAACTAGAAACGCCAGAATGCAATGAAGCTTTTGTGCAAAAGTGTTAAATTCAATAAATTCAAAATTCAATAAAGATCAACTCAAAGTTATGTATACGTTACACAAAAGTTTCAAGCGGATGCATTTAAAAGACAGCACATTTCGCAGAAAAGTTAGTGAACCCCTTATTGGCCAACGTGCTGATCTAGTTGGGTCCTTTAAGACCTCTGACTTAGAACTAAAAATCAATGACACTCCCATTCAACTTGTTGACAAGCTAAGATATCTATTCACTCCTAAGCATAACTTCATCTCTCATGTGAGTTATGTCATTCAAGATGCCACCGCAAGACAAAGACTATAAAAGTGCACTTCGTCCGCATAATAAGCTTAGTAGCAAGGTAAAAGTACTTTGCTATAAGCAACTTATCCGAGCCCTACTTTCATACGCCTTCTTCATCTAGTCCGGAATTACTTTCCACTAGATGGAACTAATCAGGCTCTTTGAAAGAAAAGTTTTTCGGATTGTGTGAATCTTTCGTCCTTAACTCTGCTAAAATGACTCGTATATTTTAAGATATTTTACTCGAGGCCGAAACCTCGAATACGTTCTACAGGTAGATCCCCTTCTAACAATGCTGCTTGAGACTATGAGGCAATTCCTAGCTAACTATCTTGAGGAAGAACTTGTCGTTCTTCTACTTATTCCGCTCTGTAATCGTGGTTTTCGTGGTCCTGAGTATAGGATTTATTCATAACTAGACCTCCCTCGCAATTTTACGCAAACTCCACCCCCTTTATCAATATTACTAACTCTCCTAACTAAATACGTCCATCTTCAGCTTTAATAAATTTAGCTTGCTAAGCACTAAGCCCTTCTGCTCTCCTTCTACTCTTGATTGCTGGAATGGGGGTTAAGAGGCCTATCCTACTATTCGTAAGAGGCGGCTTTAGTGGATTCAAGTCTCACATTGTGGTTTTTGATGCTTTCCGCCTTCAGCAAAAAAAAAAAAAGAAGAAAAGAACTGGTGAAAGTATCGATGTATTATCGATATTTTAGAATCAACCATCGATGCCACTACGATACCAAGTAAATGCATTTTTGTGCATTACATGTCATAGGAAAATCATCGATGATTTATTGATACCTAGTCATACTTAAAAGCATTATAACGGTGGTGGTTTTTTGATGTAAACGAAGATGTGAAGGAGTAATATAATTGTGTGGTGGAATCAAAATTGTTTTGTGGCGCAGTTTTTATAGCTACCACAATGCATCAAAATGTATTAATAAATTAAAAAATATTCAAATTCAAATTAGTCATTTATATTTGTGAAGAATAAATGTATATATATTTATTTTGAAATAATAAATTAATATTACAAACTATATAAAAAAGTTGTATAAATTCATGATTGATTAAATAAAAAAAAAATTGACTTAAAATTAAAATAAAAATTAGTTACAAAGGATTCATACATAATCCCTATAATTGATGTGTACAGATTTTATTATTGTTATATTTATTTAAAAATGATAATTAAATTATTATTATAATTGAAAAGAAAGAGAAAAACAGATAATGTCTTTAATAAAAGTAAAAGAAGAAAAATGATAAGTAATAGAAAAATAAAAGTATTAAAAACAAATTTTGTAAAATTATTTCAAAATAAATAATAAGTAATAACTATATGAAACAGAAATACGAATATTGAAACAAAATAATTATTGGATATAAAAATATCACGTTAAGTTGCTTCTTTTTAAAGTTCCATCCGCTTTTGAAGATACTTTTTTTATACATTTTTAATTTGCAATTCCGAAAACCTTTCCTGAATGCATTTTCGAGGTCAGTATAGCTATTTACGTCATTCTTAAATGCTTCTGAAAATTGAACATAATTTAAACTAGTAGGACGTTATAATTTTTTATTGTAAATATAATAAAAAAGCGGATGCATATTACCAAAAACAAAGTTATTGATACAATTTGTGGGAGATACAAGCTGAACACCACCATTTATATGTTATAAGCATTCACTTCATCTAAAAGTTCAATGTGCGGGTCTTGTTCATAATTTATCTACGCATGCTATTTCGCAATCAAGTGGTGCATATGTCTTTTGGAAATACCACAAATTCATTTTTGGATTTTATTTACACTTTTTTATATAATTTAATTAAATATACAAATTAAAACACTGATTAATATTAATCATGAATATTTAACAGATTGTTTAATGTTTGTTTTTGAAAACACAACGATTTTCAAAACAGCTACTGCAGCTGTAAATATTTTGCTTAGCATCTGTTGTCGTTGCCAACAAAATATTCTCTATAGAAATAAATATTAATGCACAAGTGCATTAAGATATATTAGTTTATAAATAATATTACTATTTATGAATATTCAACTATTATTATATGACTTTAAATAAATGTTATAACGTAAAATACCAATAAAATATATAAAATAAAATTATATTAAATTAATAAATAAATAAATCCATAGTTGTAGTTCCATCAAATATAAAGAAAAAATATGCGATATTTCTAGAATGGCAATACCACTACTTTGTGTTGAACACACACAAATATTTTACAAAATATTCGGGTGAAATATAGCATAAAGCAACAAAGTCCGCACATTGATTCTTCGAAGCTGACTAAAGCATCGATACCACTATAAACTATTGAGAATAAATATAAAATATTGTCTGACACAGCGGCGGTTTTAAGTCTAAGTCTATACTATATAAAATATATACATTTATGTATATAATTGTTTACAAATATGAAGGCAGTTTTAAGTCAATGTACTTGAACACTATTATATGTATATGTATATATACAATATTTAAAAAAAATATATTTTGCAAATCCGTTTTTCCAAAAGGTAGATCAAACACAGAAAGGATCATAGCAAAAACCGGCATTGTCAACGTTTACCCAACAACAGTATCCGATAAGTACAAGACAAGGGGCGTGAATTTTAAAGGACCCAAACTGGCATCATCAGCGTAGTCACCAAGATATACATATATGACATATCACATCTACATCGAATTGAATCAAATTTTTTTTTAAATATAATTTTTAAATCTAATAACAACATAATTTTTAATAAACTTTTCTCTTTTAAATTTAACATAACTTGAGAAGTTCTGTCCTCGCGAATAAAAATTTATTACAGCGACTTTGGACAAAAACTGAGGATGCCCCAACAAAGATTATAATGAACCGAAAAATCCGTGTCGTTGCAAAGTAGCTATTGTGAAGAATAAAACTAAAGTTGAGTAACGACAAATTATATATAAAATATATCAGTGTGTTTACACTAACGCAATTAACGTAGCGAATACCTAGCAAATAGCATCATTTTTAATATAAAAAATATATATTTATATTCAAAAAAATGTGATGATGAGATAATGTAGTATAAGAAAGATATTAATAAACGAGAGTCGTTATAATATATAAAAAAATATAATATATTTATATATATATATACATATATATGCTTATATATAAATATATATATAATAATTATTTCATCTTCTCGCGCAAATTTTGGTTACTTGTCATTGGTTTGAAAATTGCATAGATAGGAATAGGAATAAGCGGGGTACTAGCTCCCAACGGAATGGACCACTGCGACCATGGTTGATATTTTGTGCTGAGACAGACCCTAATCGAACAGAAGACAATCCGCCTTCCGAATGAAAGCTAGAATGTTGGCCGTTGAGGACCTCCTAACGCTAGAAGGAAATTGCATAGATATGTATGTGGATTTTTGGTATTGAATAGCAAATTTGCCTCTTTTCTTAATAAAATTTCGGACTTATTGAAAAACTTATTGCAAAGGAAATTCAATACTATTCATCATTACTTTAAGCGAAATATCGATTTTTGTTTTTCACCACCTTAACAATTTCAGGAAATGATTTCTCCGATTTAACAATTATTTCTTAAGATTCGTAAGCAAAATAATGATAACTTTTAATTTTGTTAACAAATGTATTAAGTAAATTTTAAATATTTATATCATCCCCTTTACTTTTACCACCGTAGTTTCAGTTTAAGAAATACAGCTGAAATGGTTATTTAGATGTGGTCTTAAGGTCGCTCTGCGATTACGCCATTATATCAAATATTGTAGAAAAGCATTGTTTTTTAATGTGTTTTAAATTTAAGAATTAAATAAAATTAAGACAACCTGTTTAGTTTTTTCACGTTTTTATCATTGGTAAACATGTTAGGACACTCACATCTTGCTTGAAGCAAGATTTATAATGTTTTTTAGAAAGTCTCACAAATGTTTATTACATTCACAACATTTCCATGAAATAGTATCATCGCCAAAGGCTATCTCTAATTTAATTGCTTTGTTAGACGAAATAGCTTTACTAACACAAAAGCTTAAACAAAAAATTGCCAATCACACTTATATATCTCTTACTTATTCATGTGATAAACATACAGTTATGACGTACCCTTGATCTGTCACAACTTATGCATAAAAAAAATTCGACTCGATAAAAAGGTTTTTTTTTTGTTTATTTATCTATTTAATTATTAGAATATAAAGTATAATATTTTACATATTTTCATTTTTACATCTTCATTTTTCTTCTTTATATTAATTTAATTTAATTTTACTTATATTTATATATTTAATTTAACTTAATATCAAACTACAGATGAAGCTAATCAGCCTGTTACCAAAAATTTTAAACCGCCTCCAATCTACTTGCGAGAACGCAGCTCAAATAACCTAGTTGCAAATCTGGCACGTCTGATTGGAAATAATACGTTTCATATTGTTCCTATAAGTAGGGCAATATACACGAAACCAAAATCCAAATCGACTCTGAAAACAAATTTAGGGTCATAACCAAATATTTCGAAGACAACAAAAAAATTACTACACATACCAACTAAAGAGTAGTAAAGACCTTGTTGTCGTTATTAAAGGTATTGAATCAGATGTAGAACCCATTGAGATAACAAATGCCCTAAGCGAAAAAGGCTTTAGCGCTATAGCAGTTATAAATATTGCTAACAAAGATAAAATCCAACAACCTATGTTTAAAGTTGAATTTCACCCGGAAACTTCTAAGCTTAAAAAAATGAGAGCCATCTCATTTACAACCTAAAGTATTTACTTCACCGCAATTAACGTTGAGGAGCCCAACAAAAGAAATGGTCTAGTGCAATGCACAAACTGCTAAGAGTATGGCCATACTAAGTCATATTGCACTCTTCGAACAGTGTGCGTAGCTTGTGGCGAGCTTCACCATAACATAGTTCCGAATGCGATAAAAAATCAATAAAGGACACCAAAACCTAAAAATGTAGCAACTGCAGTGGAAATCACACTGCAAACTACAGAGGCTGTCCTATTTATAGGACATCCTACAAGAAGCAACCCCATTAAATTAGTTGAAGTACCCCAACCTTTAACTTCTAAGTCTGTTACACCAGGTGTTTCATATGCTGATGTCGTTAAATCTGACAATCAACAAGGCCCTCCAGTTCAAAGTAATAGTTTGGAAATCATGATTTCCAGTCTCACCCAGAGCTTAAATCAGTTGTACATGGAATGCAAACGGCTTAAGCCAACATAAACTTGAACTCACAAATTTCATGTCCCGAGAAAATGTGGATGTAATGCTTTGCTTAGAAACACATCTAACAAACAAAAATTTCTTTTCTATTCCTGGTTATTTATTTTATAAAACCAATCACCCAGATGGCAAAGCACATGGTGGTACAGTTATTTTGATACGAAGGCGTCTAAAACACAATTTTCTAGGTACATATGCTCATAATCATATGCAAGCCACATCAATATGCCTTAAGCACAAAGGAAAAAATTTAACTTTATCGGCAGTTTACTGTCCTCCCCGCTTCAACATTACTGAGACCCAATTTACGGATTACTTCTTAACTCTAGGTTAAAGATTTCTTGCGGCGGGAGACTACAACGCCAAGCATACGTATTGGGGTTCACGACTCTGTAATCCAAATGGAAAACAGCTCTACAATTCTATTCTAAATAGAAAAAATGCACTATACGTAAACTCTCCTGGGCAGCCAACATATTGACCTGCTGATAACTATAAAATATCAGACCTAATAGACTTCACCGTGATCAAAGGCATAAGCAAAAATTTTATCTTAACATACACAAGCTGCGATTTGTCTTCTGATCATTCTCCAGTTACATTTTGCTTACTTGATGGTCCTCAGTTAAATGACTGTTCCTATAGCCTTACAAGTCCTAGAACAAACTGGCTCAAATTTAAAAAGTACATTAAGTCACACATACACACAAATTACAAGATAAAATGTAAGTCTCAGCAACCTCGGTTTTAAATTCAATTTTGATTTCAGCAGTAGAAAACTCTACCCCCAAAGACAATAAAATTTACAGATTCAATAAAGTATTTACAAATAGTGACATAGAGAATTTAGTTTTACAAAAACGTAGATTAAGGCGAGAATTACAAAAATCTAGGTCCCCTTTAGCGAAAAACTTATTTAAGGAAGCCCAAAGGAGACTTAGTTCTGCATTAAGCAAGGAAACCAAAGTCAGGCAATATAATTATATTCAAAGCCTATGTCCAAATGGCAAAAACCATTCATCCTTGTGGAATGCTAGCAAAGGTATAAATTCCCCCATAGAATCCGATTCTCCAATAAAAAAATCTCTCGGAAACCGGGCGCGAAGTGATGAAAAAAAATCTAACATTTTTGCTGATTACCTAAAAGAGGTGTTTCAACCAAATCCTGCAACAGGACAATATGATTTTCACACTCAAAATCTACATGCACCATCTATTGACATGAATATCACGGCCAATGATCTTGTTCAAATAATCACAAACAAGTTAGATTGCAAAAAGGCACCGGGATATGATAATATCTCACCCATCATGATAAAAAACTTACCCCTTTTGGCCATACATTTTATCACAAGACTTTTTAATGCCATTATTAAATTTGGCTTTTACCCAACAGAGTGGAAAACATTCATGATTATTATGATTCATAAATCAGGTAAAGATCCCACGCTTGCCTCTTCATACAGGTCAATAAGCTTACTGCCATGCCTTTCTAAACTCTTTGAAAGAGCACTGCTTTTAAAGCTAAAACTGTTCCTTGACGTTCAAAACTTAATACCCTCCCACCAGTTTGATTTTAGGGAAAAACATGGAACTATTGAGCGAGTGAATCGTATAACGAATGAGCTCAGAGAACATCGTTCCGCGGTATTCCCCGATGTTAAACAAGCATTTGATAAAGTATGGCATAATGGACTCATGTATAAGATACGCTGTTCATTACCTGAAAATGTTCACTCAGTTTTAGAATCGTATCTGCATAATAGAAGTTTTAAAGTGAAATGTAAATCATATACTTCTAATAATATCCCAATAGAAGCTGGCGTTCCACAAGGAAGTGTTCTTGGCCCTATCTTGTATGTACTTTACACATCTGATATCTCGATAAGTAGTTTATGTTGTCACCACAACGTTTGCCGATGATACGGCAATTTTATGCCGAAACAAAAACGCTGTGTTAGCTTCAAATCAACTTCAATCTCACTTATTTCGGGTGGAGAAATGGCTGTCAAAATGGCGAATTAAAATTAATGAACTAAAATGTAGACACGTCACTTTTACCTTAAATCGGAGTACGTCTCCAATAATTTCATTAAATAACATTCCCAAACCACAAGCAGATAACATAACGTACTTAGGTATTCACCTAGATAGACGACTAACTTGGCGTAAACATATTGAAGCTAAAAAAATTCAGATGAAGCTCCAAGCCTCTAAGTTGCATTGGCTCATTAATAACAGACCTTCCCTGTGCCCAGAGTATAAAGTACTCTTGTATAACAGCATCATAAAACCAATATGGGTTTATAGTTTCCAGTTATTTGGTAATGCTAGTGCTTCAAATATTGAAATTGTACAAAGCTGAATTTGACAATATAAGAAAAAAACACAATAAAAGGCTGACAGAGCATGTTAATCCCTTATCAAGAAATCTCGCAGTTTTATCCATTACTTCCCGCCTAAAAAGAGCTGATCGTCCAGCCATTAATTAATATTCAACAACTTTAAGTAATAATCGCACCTTTCTTTTTAGTAATATGATAAAGTTGAACCACTTTCTTAAGAAACCACCTAACATTCACTCCAATGAAATTTAACCCATTAGTCTAAGTGAGGTTCGTGATATAAGGTTCACTTATTTTATTTTATTTTATTTTATTTTATTTTATTTTATTTTATTTTATTTTCCTTTATTTTATTTTATTTTATTTTATTTTATTTTATTTTATTTTATTTTATGCAATAAATGCAATGTGTAATAAATAAATGTGTGTTTAAATAAAAAAAAAAAGATAAAAAGGATATAGAGCGCGCAATTTCAAAACGTACGTTATTTTTTGATTACACCTAGTATATAAGTTTCCAGATGACGTATTAATATTAAAAATTTTAATTTAAGAAAAGGTTTTATGTAGAAAAGCTTTATTTATACGAGAGTCACTATTTACATTTTGAGCCTTGGCAACATTGGTTGTTGTCTCGTGTCGATTAGTGCACACAAATGCTCAAGAAGTACAACGGCGGCGGTTTAAAAGAAGTATATGAGTATAAGATTGTAACAGGTGCGGAATCATGGATATATGCGTATGAGACGGAACGCAAACAACAGTCGGCTGTATGGTTGTTTCAAGATGAACTCCAACAAAAGTTGTTCGCGCTCGAAGCACTTCGAAACAAATATTCGCTTGTTTTTTTAGGAAAACTGGTTTGTGTGTGTGTGTGTGTGTGTGGCAACTATACCATTGTATGGACGTAAAATGGCCAATTCCGCGTGATATACAATGGTAAATCATTTGTTTACCGAAAGTCCAACCATTCAGTGAAATATGGAAAACAAACAAGCGCCGTCGGATCATTCTCTATCTCCATTAAGACAATGCGGGTGCTCACACATCTCAACTAACAACCGACTATTTGAACATTCAAAAAATCGAATTGATGGGTCATCCAATGTATAGTTATGATTTGGCACCTAATGATTTCTTCTTGTTCCCGAACGTCGAACATGAAGAATAAATTGTGTGGACCCTCGTATCTTCATATTTTCAACAATTTTTAGAGCACTTCTATTATTCTTATCTCCGACTTCCGGTATTATTGGTTTTGTAAAATGTGGACACGTCTATGCTATATACAATTGTAAATAAATATTAAATTCATTTGCAAAGAATATTTCATATTTTTTAATTTAGTTCTATCTACCATATTAGATCTATTTATCTATTAGTGTAAGCATTGAAAATACTTTTTAACGTGTACTTGTCTGATGATGTAAATGTAATTAAAAATTTTTTGTTTAAGTAGAAACCTTTCTACTGTGAATATTCTCGTGTTCATTTTTTTTCGTTAACAAGGAATTCTTTATAGGTATTTTTTTTTAATCATAGTAGGCTGACTTTTTATTTATTCACTTATCTATAGAAGAAAATTTTGATTCAAATTATTTTAAAATTGTTTCAAACACATATCTCCGATAAAATTACTTCTGCCTACCATTTTGCGTTTACAGAAAATGAATAAATTTTGTTGTGAATTTTCGGTGATAAGTTTTAACAACTGAAATTTGTAGATAGTTTAAGTCGCTCATTGCGCTATATAGAATACAATGTCTAACCATTCACTAGCATCGAACAGCTCATGTAACAACTCACTTGAATCAGTACCATACAAAACAACTGATTGTTCAAACTCAGACGTGTCATTAGTTATTTCATCGTCAGCAACAGAAGTTGAGAAATGCGAGGATTCTGAGCCTGCACAGCAGGACTGTAGTGGCTCAAATGCACAGACAGATGAAGGAGAGGCCTCGCGAATTAATCGGGAAGTAAATTTGCTTTTTAAGCGAAAAATTGAAAGTTTGGATGATGCTCAGGATCCCGATCACAGCGTGAGTTTTTTTTCATATTAATGTATATATATGTACTTATTTAAACAAAAGAATACATTGAGAACTAAAGCTTTCTTTGCGATAATATTATACTTAATACTACACAAAGTGTGCTTAGAAGCGTAGCCAATAATTTTTCTAACATCTGACAGTACTCTCATTTTCATATTTACCTATAACAGAGACCATAGATATTATATAGTTAATAGCTATGTTTAAACAATTTTTTTGGATTCATTTTTAAGAAACGCAATACGGCATACAAGGAGTGGGTAGTAATGCTATTAAAAATGAACGACGCCATTGTTCGAAATTCCGAATTGCTCGAAACTCGAGTCTATCAGCGTATATGTCAAGAGCAAGAAGGTGGGAGCAAGCACGGTAAACGTCGTAAAAGTTGTGTTGAACAGCTGAAGTGTGATTTAGATAAGATAAAAATTATGATAAGGAATGCGCATTCAGATGATGATTGGAATTTTTTTAACGTGGAATTCGATGCCGTACATAAGGCACAATTTATAGCTGTAAGTATAAAATTTATATATTACTCTATATATTTAAATATATGTTTTTCACTTCTTATGGACAATTTCAAAAAGAATTATATCATGCCTTATAAATATCTAGATTTATAGTCTAAACATTATTGCTCATAATAGAATAAAAGCATAAGATAAGAAGAATCATTTCTAAATAAAATTTTTATATAATTTCTATTCTGTATATCGGAGTAAACATATCACAAACTATTTAGGACTATATATATATCAACAGAAGTGTTGTTCATAACATTAAATTCATAATTAATGTTTCAACAATATTTTTGTAAATAAGTATTTAATAAGTAATTAGTGAAAAGTAATGGATAATTAAGTGGCACAACTATGGAATTTCATAAAGTAATTTTAGTTGTCTAATAATTTAAATGATTCAATAAATTTAGTTTTATAGATTCCATTTGACTATTTAAATGATGAACATGTTTTCATTTCACTTAATATAAAAATAATTATTTTTCTTTAGAAAGTTTGTGGAACAGAAGAGAACAATGAGCCTCCGGAATCTGAGGATAAAACGGAAAATGCAGAGACATGCAACGACGATGAACCTGAGAATCCTTTTTTAATAGATTTCAGTAGCTTTAAGGAATGCTTCAAAACGAAAAATCCTTTCAGGACAGATGGATCGGAAGTAGGTTCTGTCATATCTCTAAAAACTTTTGAAGACTTTATAGCTAAAATAGAATCATGTTGTAAAGAAAAAGAAGAAGAAGAAGAAGATATTGAAATGGGAAATGCAGTAACATGCAACGAAAAAGAATTGGAGACAAACGATCCGATTGAAGAATGCAACGCAAGTGAGGAGGATGATGATGTATCGGAACAAAATTCTTCCACAAGTTTTGAGAGTTTTGACGACTGTTTTATTCCAAACATTTGCGACTGTTGTGAAACACAAGATGCTAAAGTACGCTCAAATCTACAAGTTAAAAAAGATAAGAATGTTTCCAAAACTTATAATAGTTCATCTGAATGTTGTGAAGGTTATGATTGGTGTTGTAAAATGCAAAATGCTCTAGAACGCCCAAATATTGAAGGTGGACAAGAGGAGGATATTTCCAGTACTTACAGTACATGTGAAAATTCCGAACTAGAACCATATTCTTCTACTAATTTTAATAATACTGAAGAAGCTCGTAATATATTAAATGCCAGAATATATCCAAATAGTAGGGGTAGACAGAACGATGATACTTCAAACACTTATGATAATTCATGTGAATATTTTGAACTAGAACCACATAATTCTACAAATTTCAATAATACTGAAGAAGCTCGTAATATACTAAATGCCAGAATATATCCAAATAATTGGGGTGGACAGAACAATGATACTTCGAACATTTATGATAAGTCATGTGAATATTTTGAACTAGAACCAAATAATTCTACAAATTTCAATAATACTGAAGAGGCTCGTAATATACTAAATGCCAGAATATATCCAAATAATTGGGGTGAACACGACGATGATACTTCCAACACTAATAATAATTCATGTGAACATTCCGAACTAGAACAGTATTCTTCTACTAATTTTAATAATACTGAAGAAGCTCGTAATATACTAAATGCCAGAATATATCCAAATAATTGGGGTGAACACGACCATGATACTTCCAACACTAATAATAATTCATGTGAACATTCCGAACTAGAACAGTATTCTTCTACTAATTTTAATAATACTGAAGAAGCTCGTAATATACTAAATGCCAGAATATATCCAAATAATTGGGGTGAACACGACCATGATACTTCCAACACTAATAATAATTCATGTGAACATTCCGAACTAGAACAGTATTCTTCTACTAATTTTAATAATACTGAAGAAGCTCGTAATATACTAAATGCCAGAATATACCCAAAAAATAGGGGTGGACAGCAAGATGATACTTCCAACAGTAGTGAAAGCTCATGTAAATATTATGAAGCAAATGAATTATCTTCCACAAATTTCAATAATACTGAAGAATCTCGTAATATACTAAATGCCAGAATATACCCAAATAATAGGGGTGGACACAACGATGATACTTCCAACACTAATGATAGTTCATGTGGATATTATGAAGCAAATGAATTATCTTCCACAAATTTCAATAATACTGAAGAAGCTCGTAATATACTAAATGCCAGAATATACCCAAATAATTGGGGTGAACACGACGATGATACTTCCAACACTAATGATAGTTCATGTGGATATTATGAAGCAAATGAATTATCTTCCACAAATTTCAATAATACTGAAGAAGCTCGTAATATACTAAATGCCAGAATATACCCAAATAATAGGAGTCGGCAGAACAATGATACTTCCAACACTAATGATAGTTCATGTGAACATTCCGAACTAGAACAGTATTCTTCTACTAATTTCAATAATACTGAAGAAGCTCGTAATATACTAAATGCCAGAATATATCCAAATAATTGGGGTGAACACGACGATGATACTTTCAACACTAATGATAGTTCATGTGAACATTCTGAACTAGAACAGTATTCTTCTACTAATTTCAATAATACTGAAGAAGCTCGTAATATATTAAATGCCAGAATATATCCAAATAATAGGGGTAGACAGAACGATGATACTTCGAACACTTATAATAATTCATGTGAATATTCCGAACTAGAACCACATAAATCTACAAATTTCAATAATACTGAAGAAGCTCGTAATATACTAAATGCCAGAATATATCCAAATAATAGGGGTGAACATAACGATGATACTTCCAACACTTATGATAGTTCATGTGAATATTATGAAGCAAATGAATTATCTTCCACAAATTTCAATAATACTGAAGAATCTCGTAATATACTAAATGCCAGAATATACCCAAATAATAGGGGTGGACAGAAAGATGATACTTCGAACACTTATGATAGTTCATGTGAATATTATGAAGCTAATGAATTATCTTCCACAAATTTCAATAATACTGAAGAAGCTCGTAATATACTAAATGCCAGAATATACCCAAATAATAGGGGTGAACAGAAAGATGATACTTCCAATACTAATGATAGTTCATGTGAATATTATGAAGCAAATGAATTATCTTCCACAAATTTCAATAATACTGAAGAATCTCGTAATATACTAAATGCCAGAATATATCCAAATAATTGGGGTGAACACGACGATGATACTTCCAACACTAATGATAGTTCATGTGAACATTCCGAACTAGAACAGTATTCTTCTACTAATTTCAATAATACTGAAGAAGCTCGTAATATACTAAATGCCAGAATATATCCAAATAATAGGAGTAGACAGAACGATGATACTTCGAACACTTATAATAATTCATGTGAATATTTTGAACTAGAACCACATAAATCTACAAATTTCAATAATACTGAAGAAGCTCGTAATATACTAAATGCCAGAATATATCCAAATAATAGGGGTGAACATAACGATGATACTTCCAACACTTATGATAATTCATGTGAACATTATGAAGCAAATGAATTATCTTCCACAAATTTCAATAATACTGAAGAAGCTCGTAATATACTAAATGCCAGAATATACCCAAATAATAGGGGTGGACAGAAAGATGATACTTCGAACACTTACGATAGTTCATGTGAATATTATGAAGCAAATGAATTATCTTCCACAAATTTCAATAATACTGAAGAAGCTCGTAATATACTAAATGCCAGAATATACCCAAATAATAGGGGTGGACAGAAAGATGATACTTCCAATACTAATGATAGTTCATGTGAATATTATGAAGCAAATGAATTATCTTCCACAAATTTCAATAATACTGAAGAAGCTCGTAATATACTAAATGCCAGAATATACCCAAAAAATAGGGGTGGACAGCAAGATGATACTTCCAACAGTAGTGAAAGTTCATGTAAATATTATGAAGCAAATGAATTATCTTCCACAAGTTTCAATAATACTGAAGAAGTTCGTAATATACTAAATGCCAGAATATATCCAAATAATTGGGGTGAACACAACGATGATACTTCGAACACTTATGACAGTTCCTGTGAACATTATGAAGCAAATGAATTATCTTCCACAAATTTCAATAATACTGAAGAAGCTCGTAATATACTAAATGCCAGAATATATCCAAATAATAGGGATGGACAGAACGATGATACTTCCACTACTAATGATAGTTCATGTGAATATTATGAACTAGAACCACATAAATCTACAAATTTCAATAATACTGAAGAAGCTCGTAATTTACTAAATGCCAGAATATACCCAAAAAATAGGGGTGGACAGCAAGATGATACTTCCAACAGTAGTGATAGTTCATGTGAAGATTCTGAAGCAAAGGATTTATCTTCCACAAATTTCAATAATACTGAAGAATCTCGTAATATACTAAATGCCAGAATATACCCAAATAGTAGTGGTGGACAGAAGGAGCGTTCTTCGAAAGCATATGGTTCACGTGACTGTTCGGAATCTGAGCAATATTTTTCTTTGATCTCCAGAAATTCAGAAGAATGTTGTAAAATACAAAATACGGAAGTGTGTGACAACGACAGACGAACTTCTACAAGTTTTGATGAATTAAAGGAATGTTTTGAACCAGAAGAATATTCTATTAATTTTAATGATTTAAAAGAATATTTTGAAAAGCAAATTGCGAACGCGTGCACATGTGGTAAATATAAACGGGCTTCTAAAGAAGATAAAAATTTGAAAGAATGTACTAACTCATATACCCGAATATGCCCTGGTGATACGGACAGCCAGAATTCTACAAGTTTCGATAAATTAAGAGAATGTTCTCAAACGGAGGATTGCTCTTCCACAAATTTTAATGATATGAAAGAGTATTTTGAATTACAAAATGCCCTACTAAGCTCATGCAATAGCAATAAACGAACTTCCAAAGCATCCAATAATTCTGAAGAATGTCTTGAAACATGCTCAAGTGTTTCTACAAATGTCAGTAATTTAAAAGAATGTTCGAAAATGGAGGACGTCCTTACACGTCCAAGTGATAGTGATAGCCAAGACGAGCAAGATTGTACTCAATTCGAAGAATATTCATTTGAAAATTTCAACGATTTGCGTGAATGGTTTAAAATGCAAAATGCTCAAGTAACCCCAAATAGTTCTTCCAAAACTTTCAATAGTTCAAGTGAATTCCTGCAACCAGAGAAATTTTCTGCTGCAAAATTTAGTGAAAGTTTTGAAATGGAAACTCCTGAATCCTGTAAAGAAGATATAGAATACACTTATATGGAAGGTGTTGTAATAGACTATAAGAATGAAGAATGCACTCAGATGGAAGCAATGAGAAAATGTGCTGAGGTTTGTAATGATTTGTACGAAATGTAATATAATTTATTTAAAATGTAACTTTTTCAATCAAATCTAATATCACAACAATTCTATTACCACAACAAATCTAATATCAAAAATAGTTTCTCACATATTTATTAAAATCATTCGAACGACTTGATTATTAGGATATTTTAGAGATCTTCAGTTCATTTCATTATATTATTATTTTTCTATATATTAAAATCATAGTTTTTTAGTTAAAACCTGTTTTGTTTTTTAAGAATGTTAACTTTTATTTCGTGCGTTATTTTTTAGTATAATTCTATACGTATTTCGGCAAATTCGCTTTTGCCTTCATCAGGAGGATTCCTAATATTCTTTTTTTAGTTTTTTAGTTGTTTGGAGTTTCTTATATAGTGACAATCAAACTATTAGTTTAGATTTCACCAGGTTAATTGGTGGGCAGCTCTTAATGAAAATCTTTGTTAAAACGTTTAACAGTTGTGCTTATAAGAAAACTTGCGTTATAACCCGAAATTGTTGTAATCATTTCCTACCTCAGATATGGCAGACTATATATTAGACATTATTTAATTTAAAATTTTTCAAAATTAAAAACTTCGACATATTCCCAATAAGAAAACTTTCCAGTAAAATCTGTAACTATCTGAATTTAATCTGTTTATTTACAAGTGTACTTAACTCGATTCAGTAAAACATAAGGTTTAGTATTATATTTTAGTTTCTTAATACCATTTATTCACCGTAAGGTCTTTATATTTATTATTAACTCTTTACCCAATAATCTAGTATAATTATGTTGTAATAATTCACGTTATATTTTTTTACCCTGATTCAGGAAATGGAAAAAAAGGATATATGTAGCAAATTGGAATTCTTTCGTCAATTTCTAATATACCTAAATACTGCAGATTCTGTAAATATTCCTTTAGACGAATGGAACCTTGTATCATTGGAAGATACAACATATGACCACGACATTCAAATAATAGACTGCGTTAAAGCAAGATTCAAGGGAATGTGTGATTCAATAATGGATCTGCATTCAAATGTGGAACAACTGGAAAATGAACGGGATGGTAGGAAATTTATTCACATATATTAAACGTTATAAACTTAATTTTAAACTGTCTTTAACTATTAATAATTAAATAAATTTTTACTGCAGAACTCTGTGATATCTTGGATATGGAAAAACAGAATTCTCAATGGTGTATTGAAACTCTTCAAGATTTGGCCTGTATTCTAAGACGCTTGGTAAATACAAGAGTACATAATTATAAATAATTATAATTCGCTACTTATAACACATTCACATGAATATATATTGTACAGTCATAGTTATAATAACATATGTTGTTGTTCTGTTTACCAGTGTGATGAAGATCTTTCGTCTGAAGACCTACACATGTCTAAAAAATCTAATAATAACGAAAACCCTTTTCTTGATACTGTTATTAATATCGTAGAAAAATATGAGAAAAGGTGCGAAAAACTTGGGCTTTGTTTAAAAAATGCTGATAACAAAGTAATGAATCTAAAATATATATGTACAATATACTTTTAATTAAATTATTTATTTATATAATTAAACAGTTAAAAATGTTGGAAGATATGATCACGAAAATAAATACCGGAGGAAAAGGAAAAGGACAAGAAGCGTTAATCCAGAAAACAGTATGTTAAATTGATTTATTTATATTTATTATACAAATAATTGCAAAAACTTTTAAATGTATTTTGTAATCTGGCAAACATGCGGATTGCATATTCTTACGACATATATTAAAAGTTTCAATATTCAGTTTAGAACCTCGCAATATTTCTGTAAATTATGGTGGTTCCACTTTTTTTATACAACGTCGTGTCTTCTTGTACACCACATAGATAACTCTTTTAATGAAATTTCAATCAGTAGAGACACTCCAACCACTGTATTTGCCCGTCCATATATTTGTACGATGCGTACATCTAACATTATTACAGTGATGAAATGGAAAATGGAAATAATTTTTGTTGTCAACTACTAATGACAGTTTTCTGCTCTGGTCTCCCATAAGACATTCTTTTTAAAATCGAAAATAGTAATTCAGTTTCCAGACGTTTACTTATTTTATCCCAGAAATGAAGACAGTTATCTAAGTTATGTCAGGGTGTAAACACATATGCTGAGAGGTTCCATATTAATTATAAATCCATTTTATTTCGAACGTGTATCCTTTCTGCAACTGCACCCCTCATAATGTCATCTATCCATCACGCAAAATTAGAATCTAAAGAATGTGATAAAATTTCTAAACTTTGCTATGTATAATAAAAGCTCTGTTAAATGAACGCTATCCCTTAACTGTAAATTGCCCGTCCTCAGTTTTAATTTTTCATATAAACTTCGTTCTTTTTAAGAAAATAGACAGTTTTCTTTGTCGGAGATAATTACGATTTTTGTCGCTTTTCGCTATAATGAACTATCATTGCTCATCTCTTCCTTTACCAGCGTGCAACATTTTTATCACCTAATGCTGCATACATCCTTAGTAGGATATAATAGTAGGGTATTATAAAAATTATTTATGTGGCGCACAGTTAAATAACATTAAGGAACTTCTGTTCTCATCTAAGGTGTAAAAAATCTTCTAACAATGGACACAGTATAATTTTAAAAGAAATCAACAAGAGAAGATATCTCAAAATATGACAAAAAAGTCATATTATCTTTCTGATCCCTGCAGTACTTTTTAAGGTAAAACTACGTTGGTAGCATTTAACTTTCGAATATCACTATCTTTGTGAATTGTCAGCCAGCAATAAAAATAATTGAGTTTCGCACGGTTAAATCAAGAATTATAATAAAATATCGCATCTTACTAATGAATATTGATCATCACACGGTCTCTCTTTGTTGGGTTTCTGGTCATAAAGATGTCGAAGAGTATGAACTAGCAGATAAAATGACTAGGAGAGGCTACGAAATTGACATAAATGAAATTGAGATTTCAATACAAGACCCGATGAGCGTTCTGTTTCGAAATTAATTATGAATTAATTGCGTAGCCTGTGTAGTCGTTAAGACACTAAGTTCTAATTAAATTATAGAAAAACAAAGGATTCAACAAACCTTTGAGATCCTACAAATCGTGTGCTTCAACAACAGTTATCATAAAGAAAAGGAAGTGAAATCCATCAATTATTTTCATTGTTATTGTCCAGAACTACAGAAAAATCCGTTTCTTTTCCGAACTTGCAGATTTGGCGAAAGTAGACTTATTGGATCTGCTTAACTTCATCTAGAAAATCAAACGATTTAACAAGGACAGCATGTAGAATTATTTTGGAAACAATTGTTAGTCTAGCTCATTTCCTTTTGATAACTTAACCTATGTTTTCATTTGGAGCGCTAATGATCAGTGATTTTATATTACAATCGCAATTTTACTTTTATGTGTAGGTGCATATGTTCTTTTTTGTTGCTGAACTTTCGGAAATAGAGACAACATATAATATATATATATATTTATATATATATATATATATGCATTTCTTTGATTATGCAATATATGATAAGAGCAGATTTTTCACAGAAGTTTTTTTTTACTTAAAAACCCGATTTCAATACCATTTTTTTTAATTTCATGTTAAAGAAGTTTGTAAATTAGTTTTTTTCTTCGTTTAACATCCCCAATTGTAAAAGTTTGCGAGTTACTATCTCCACCGACACGCTTCTTTTAATCACAATTGGGGATTCCTATATGGAAATGTTCTCTTCGAAAGCACCAAATTGCAGAAATTCATGCTCAGTATTCATCAATAATCATTAAAACGAGTTTAAAATGTTCGTGTTTTAATTTTATTTAAATTCATTTTACCCATCAATAACTCAGCAAATAAAATATATAAATAATGGGTGATAGCTAAGAGGAGAAGGAGGATGAGGGGGAGAGAAGGGGAGGCAACATGTTGAAAGTTAAATAGAATATATGCATAAATGTAAGACAATGTTATGTTTTGCAATGGAAATGTGAAATAGGTGATAGGACATAAAGGGCGCAAGTGAAGTATAGTGTAGTCGAGTGCGGGGATAATAGAGCGGTAAGTGGAGCGGTAGATGGGAAATGGGAAATGGGAAATGTATTAGGTTAAAAATATTGAAGTAAATTGTGAATTAGTGTCATTTGAGTTCGAAACAAACGATAGACAACATATCAGCAAGTCTGCAAGTTGGCAAGTCGGAAAGTCGAAAAGTCGGAAAGTTTGTGATGATTGAGTTCTTTACAGTTTGCATGCAAGCATTAAAAGTGTATTTCAATACTTGAAAATAACCGAAAATAATTTGTTTTCAATCATTTTATTAATTATTTGAATAAATAATAAAGTGTTTAGCAAATTGTTAAGTGCAGCTCGTGCGTGCAAAAGGAATTTGTAAAAGCAACGGTCAACAATCAACGGTGAACAGTCAACGGTCAACGGTCAATCCTACGATCCATATGAATATTTCTGAATATTTCTTGTATGTGCAAATGGTTAAAGTTCTTCAAATTTGAGAAGTAATTAATAATAATTCAATTAACACAAACATTTTTAATTCTGATATAATTTATAATCAAAGTAATTTTAAAATCGCTTTGAATGTTGAAAGCGTAAAATTTACGTGTATGAAACGAACTTAGTGTGCTATTCCATTTGAATCCCTCCCAATCTAAACCGTTTAAGTTAAATTGTGTTAAATTACTCGCTGTATGCATAGACATATGTGCATATGTTGCTAAGGATTTGACCTACTTAAAGCGCTATTTTGATCAAAATATTGATAGGATTTATTTGTTGAATTGTGTTGATTATTGTGTGTCGGTTTGGTTTGGCTTGGTTTGGTTTGGTTTCTGTAATGTTTACATATAAGGGGTGTTCAGTATTTAGTCCAGCTGACCGGGTAGTACAACATTATTTATAATGTAAAAACGTTTGTTTGTAAAGGAATGTAACACTTATTAGTATATCTTATACTATTTTCACTTTTGGACATTTTGATCACAACTTTCATGGTATCAGCTAAGACCTGAGCGTTTCAAGAGGTTTCCAGAAAAATTCATCTTAGACCATAGGTTTTCACACAAGTAAACATTTCTAAATAAATTTATAATTTTAAGTTAATAATTGAGAATACGCATATGAAATCGTTAATATTTGAATATTCGACCCCAAATTTTAGTGTCTGACAAACGCGTAATCTGAGGTGTGAGGTTTAAGTAACTGGAGCTCATCAATAACTCACACTATGACGTAATTTGCATTGAAATAAAAACCGTAAATAAAATTTGTTTATTTTAGTACGCAATTAAACCGATACACGCTGTTAAAATGCGCATAAAAAATTTATTATTTTTATTATTATTAAAACAACGCAGCATAAAATAGAATAATAAAAGAAATTAATTTCAGGTTTCTTTGATAGGCAAAATTTTAGGTATGGAATGTCATATAAGAAGCTTTAGATATTTTAACAATTTATCTATATTCTCTATAATATTTCTCCATTTTTATCCATTTCATGTCTTCCTTTTATAGTTGGTTATTTTCTCCATTTATGTAAATGTCCTCTTTCAATATCTTCGATCTGTTTTCTGGATCCTTGTAACTTTACATTAAGTGGTGTCATAATCGTTGTGCTTTAAAAAAACTTGTAATATTTTTATGATCATTATCATCTTATGGATATGTATCATCCTTCAAAAGCACCAGGCCAATAAAGGAAACAGAATATAAGGTCTCACTATAAATACTTATTTGTAAAAAGTCCTGTAAACCTTTAAGCATCACCATCCGTAACTATGCAGTCCATGTAGGATCTAAGCCTGTTTAACAACAGTCTTCCATTCTTCTCTGTTTTTTGCTTTTGTTTTCCAATATTTTTCTTGGTCTCCCTCTTCTTCTGTTGATTCGTACGTCGTTCTCATAAATCTTAAGTGGTACTCTCATATCGGGCATTCTTATCACATGTCCAACCCATCCTAATCTCTGCTTTTTCATACCTTTAAGCACACAATACATTTGCAATCATTTGAAATAGTATAAATATAATTTATTTTTACGGCAGATTCAAGTACTTTGTCATAGGTCCGACTAAGAATTATTTTTCTCTTTTATCCCACATCCTCCGCTTGCTGTCATTGCTTCACTTGTGTTAGAACGAAATTTAGAATTTATTAATATCAGGAAATTTTTACTAAATCTTTTTAAAAACTAAACTCTTAAATTTGTTTATGAAATTATAAATAAAATGTGGAAATAGTTATGACAGTCTGTTACAAAATTAATATCCCTGAATAAACATTGATTTAGTGAAATAAATGACACAATCAGAATATTAATATATAATATATATTTAAGAAGGTTTTTGCAATATTGAATTTGAACAGTAACCTGATGGAGGAATGCTCTGGATTGATAGTTTTTTTGTGAAATAAAACTAGTATTTAATTCACTAACACGAGTAAGTACCATACTTAAAATATTAGGTATCTAAAATACCTAATAAGGTATGTCAGATGAAAGTATGATATAATTCCTTATCGTTCTTTCCGTTATTAGCTCTTTTTCTACTTCGGAGAAGACTATATCATACATTTTAGGATACTTTAGGACTTCTTTAATCAGAATTATATTGTATAAAAAATATATCAAGATATTTGGTTTAAAAATATATAATAATGAGATTATGATACCTGCTGGTATAGAAATAGAATTACTTTGAGAGTATATCTTCACTTAAACGATTACAGAATTGGATAATATAGAAATTTTATAACCAAAGTAAGCAGTATCTTTTATTTAGATTAACATTTCTAAAACTGTGATCTGCGAAAAGTATGTAGTTCTCAGCATTTAATTTTCAGCTTTAAAAGGTGTGAGAACATCTGACTTAGATCAAAATATTTAATGTAATTGATTAATATTACTAAGCAAATTAATATTACTAAAATCAAAAATACTTCTAGAATCATTTTATTTGAAGTAAAGTGCTCTACAATTGTAGAACGTATACTATAAACATGAACAAAAATATTTTCCCTTAAAGGACGGACAGACACTTGTTGGTATTTACATCCATAATTGCATTGAAATGTAAATACCACACTATTGAAATCGATTAACTATATGTGTAACATATATATGCGACATTTGGATGTACATACATATGTATACATAAAAAATAAAATGTTATTAAAATTATACTAGATCGATCGTTTGATTAGTCGTTTGTTCGTTTCAAAAACCTTCTTTGATTCTCTGGACCATTAGTTTGGTTGTATTTTACACCAGCGGCTTCATGTGAAGTTTGAAAAGCCACAATTATGCAGCTCAATAAAACTGAATAGTTATCTGAATCCATTTTATATTTGGTTTGATACAAAATTTGCTTACAATCCTGATAAAATATTTCTGGGCTAAGAAACCCCATACTGCGTTAAAATCGTATTATAATTCTTATAATTCTCTTATTTTATATACTCGTAACACAACTTAAAGTTTCACCCGTCCTCAAAAATCTTAATACATAACGTAATGAGTTTATAGGATGACTAAGAAAACAATAACTCTTATATAAAATTTCATTTTATTCAACGGTTGATATATTTATTATCATATTTCTCTAACATTAAAATTGTTTGTTTTAGTTGTAGCAACCATTTTTTGATGGAAGCTCCTTGGACCAATTTTTTTGGTTTGGAAGCAGATAGTACTCACTGGAAAGCATCTCCAGAAAACAGAGTAGATGGAAAAGCGATTCAAAGTAGAGTTTTGTTATTGTTGTGATTGGATTTATTTATTTGAAACCCTTTTTCGCAATTTCTTCACTATTGATGGTTCTTCCTTTCTTTAGGTAATCGCCGAATAAAATATAGCTTAAGATGGTCTTGTTTATTGCTGCTCATTCAGCTTACTGCAGCTTTAACTATGAGATGTAGTTGTGACTCCATGTTTCATTCTTTTTCGCACACATCATAAATAAACTCCTTTTTATTGCGCTAAAGCAGTTCATAAGAGACATTGTTTTTGACATCGCAAGCATATGTCTGTTCATGCATTGGACCTTAGCTACCATTTTTGCTACTACCGACTAAATTGCCTGTAGTTTTTCATGTGCCCGGCAAATATTGGGTATTACGTCATATATTATTAAGACCTCTTCAAAAATGTTTTGAATAGCTCTCTTCTCTCATTGCGAAAGATGCAAATGTTCAAAATTACGTGTTCTGCACTTTCAATTTCGCTCCGAGAATCCGGATAGGACAACCCTCTTTGACTTAGCAAGTGTTTAAAACACATCTTTCACGACAAAAGTTGTTTCGTTGAATAATATTCATGCTTTTAATAAACTTATTTAATTTAACCACCAAAATCTGACCTTATCGGAGACAGTATGGTCATGTTTAAACTACATATTTATGGATAAATATTTAATTTCGACAGAGGAGAGTTATTACAAAATATTTCGAACCATTCCTTTATCGATACGTTACTCTTTTAACTTTTTGAGAGACTAAATTGCAGACAGTAAAGAACTAGGGATTGTGTAACGAGTATTAAAAATTGAAAATTGGATTATTTAAAATTATTAAAATTCACTGGAATCAGCCAAAGTCTCTATTATTAGTCCACGTTTAAAAACATTCTCCCATCTCAAACGTTGTATATGTATTCATAACATCGGGACAAGCCTATTAAAATGAAGTAATTTTCACTATCAACAAAATTAATTAATTTTAGTTTCTTAAGAAGTGGATGGATTTTTTCATATCCAATTATTCCTGATCACTAGTGATAGATGAAAGTGAATGTGGGCTGAATATGGGGAATGTAATTAATGGAAATTTACAGTGGTGTCAAACATAGAAAATAAAATTTTTTCGTCGAAACGATTGACGTTAAGGATGTTAAGTTTAAAGTACTTTTGACCCTTAATTTTCACCCCGATTTTAAAGATAATTTTTTAATAAAATTATCTTTTTTTAACAATTATTCGTAAATTATACATAGTTCTAACAAGTATTTTCAAGGACTACATTAAGACTGAAAAGTTTTCGGAAATTCTCATTTAAAATTTGCGCGCTGTATATTTTTCGATATTTTAAGTTTATGTAGTTTGGCAGCACTGTCCTTAATTACTATGCCAAAAATGAGCGCGATCTGTCAGACAGTTCGTTTACGGCAGCTGTTGAAACCAGTTCACCTCAGTAGTGCGTTGCGAAATGTCTTCGACGGTCTTACGACCGTCCTGAAAGGCTTTGTACCACTCATAAACTTGAGTTTTCGATAAAACTGATTCCCCATAAGCCTTTTGTAGCATTCGCAACGATTCTGCACACGAAATTCGTTCGAAACACAAAATTTGATGCAAACTCTTTGTTCAATATTTTTTTCCATTGTTTTTTTCGCAACGCACTACTGAGGTGAACTGGTTTCAACAGCTGCCGAAAACGAACTGTCTGACAGATCGCGCTCATTTTTGGCATAGTAATTAAGGACAGTGCTGCCAAACTACATAAACTTAAAATATCGAAAAATATACAGCGCGCGAATTTTAAATGAGAATTTCCGAAAACTTTTCGGTCTTAATGTATGAACCCAATGTGATTTATTAATATGATATTATAAAAAGTTTATGATCAATTAATAAATCGATTTGCAATTGGAATAACTGAATCATATTTATATACGGATATATATAGCACAAGTCCCCTATTATGTTAAAGTTGTTTTTGCTATAATCTGTGTGGTTCTTCACTTTTTACCATTATTGTACATGATCTATTTCAGAGTAAGAAAATGCAATGTACTATAAATCAATTACGTACATTGGTAAATGAAAAGGAGGAACGAATTCAGTATTTAAATAATACTATTCAGAAACTTTCGGACGCTGAAAAAGAAAAAATCAAAAAAACCGCAGAGTCCCCATATGATGACAAAGAGTACTGGTGTGCTCAATTGGCTAAGGCAAATGCAGAAATACTTTGCTTGCGGAGTTCTTTGGAGTGTGCAGAAAATCAGGAACATTTGCATGCTTCACAAACCAATAACCTTAACTTGGAGTTACTAGAGCTCAGACGTAAGAATGGTAAGATCAAAAAAAAAATAAGCTTTCTTATGAAAACAAAAGTTATCATTTTTCCAAACTATTAAATTTCTTTACTCAAATTGTTTGCAAACTAAAACGTTAATTAGTATTAATTAATATTTTGGTAATTTGGTAATTTCATAAAAGCAAATATTAAAAATGTAAAAGTCTTAAGTCGGTGTAAATATTCTTATTGATGATACCTAAGTATCTATTGTTAATAATGTACAAAACTAAATAACTTTAAAAAAATATTTCTAAAGTCATACAATCTTATAGTGCTTTAATAATTAAATTATAGTTTTGATGTTGACCCAAATATTTTATTCCTTCCATAGGGGAGCTGATAGTTTATTTACGCAAATTAAATGGTTTATTGCGCAACCAAGAAGCTTGTCGTGTAGGTTTGGTGCAAAAATTTAAAAATATAGAAGAAAATTATGAAGATCAGTCGAAGTGTCTGTCTTCAGCTAACTCACAAATGAAATTCCTTCAGGATCAGTTGACCAAATTTGAAAAGGTAGTGGAGGAAAATCAAATGGAGGTAAGTAAACGTCTCTTTTTGAGTAAGATTTTGAAATCAAAACTGATAATTCGAAAGTATAATTAAGTTATATAATTAAGTGATTTAAGAAGTAAATTAAATTATCTTTACTGCTTATAGCGAGCGCTATTGCGTGAAGAAGTTATGGGACTTAAAGAAAGAGAAGCAGAATTACTGGGTAAAAACAGGTGTATAGAAACTCAATATAGTAAATTGGAACAGGATCTAAATAAAGCGCATGCTATCATCAAGAAGCAACAAACAACTATACAGCACAACGATAATTCACATGATGATCTCATTAAACAATTGCAGAAAAGTAATGAAGAAGCTGAAACGAGCTTGAACTGCCTAACTGAAGAAAACAAAAACCTCAAGCAGGAAAACATGTAGTTTCAAATAAATTTAATTAATTTCATATACAAATAATTTTTATGTTATGTATTTCTTTTTAGGAAATGCAATGAAATTAATGAGCACAACAAGAAAATGATTGACTCTTTTCGAAAATGGAAAGAATCTCAATTGGAGGCAGATAACAATACTCAAATGAGCTTTGCCCACTATGATGCGCACATAAAGTAATTTTTAGTAAAATATTTATAAGTAGATTATGCTATTATTCATTTTTCACAGATTGCTCTTGGAAGACAGGCAGGACTACATGGAGAAATACACAATCTTGAAGCAAGACTTCCATATGCTAAAAGATGAACTGGATCGTTTACGATGTTTTAAGTGATTTAAGTTAAAAAAATAAAAGGATACTTGTAATTAACTTTTATTTTTATTTTAGAAATTGTATACCAGAACAAGCGGATAATGTGGTAAAATATTTTTTTAATATATAAATATTTTATAAAAAGAAAAAACAATTGAAAAATGTTACTTACTTCATTTGCATTTAAAATATATTTTTAATTGCAGCAAATCAATCGTCGTACAGACGTTGTCCGTCACACTTCTCAAAAGGTTTCTGATCAATGTAATCAATTAGAGCGTGCAAAACGTCGTAGCAGATCTAATAAGCTCTAAGCTTGGTTCAACACTAGGAGTATTGAAACACCACTTTATTTTTGACAAATTTATGAAATCCAACAAAACAAAAACAACCATTAATATATTTGCTAAATGTTTTATAATAGAAAATGAAGTGTATGCCTCCATTCAATTAATCATTCAATCATTATCAATCATTTTTTATTCACTGTCATATTATCAAAAACGAAATTCAAAAACTTTTTTGTAAAATGTAAAAATGAGTACGGCATTATACACTGTTGATAATTATTCAACAAAAAAAATTTTGTTTTTTTTTTAAATAATAGCGAATATTTTGAATTTTTAAATAACGGTTATTTCAAAATAAGATCCATAAACTGATAACCGTTGTCATGATCATATGTGTTTATAAAGTAACGAGTAACCAGTCTGTTTGCGTACTTTAATAAGCGCTATAATCTTATTTCCTTTAAAAGTGGCAGCACTCTTATTTTTATTATTTATTTAAAAAAAGTAGTTTTAATAATTTAACGCTATAATTATATTCGAAATATTTATTTTATTTAAAACTGTTATGCTATTTTTTTTATTTAAATATTACGTAGTGAATGATTCGATTAGAGTTGAAACCATATGGATATTAGCATAGAGGAAAAGTAAAATTGCAAACTATTTATAACACATTGATTGAAATGATTGAAATCAAATATATAGTCAAATGCAAGTTTCAGGAATTAAAAAATAATTATTACTAAAATCATTGATATCAGCGTTAGATATTTGCGATGGTGTTATTGAAACTCTCAAGCCTTATATGCCATATAAATTCATCACATTAGTATTGTTTTTATTTGACCACTGTTAATTCCGTAATATTTATGTCATGCCTTTTTTTTATCCTTAAAACCTGTGGGTAATTAATAGTTTGCAATATTGGTAACAGTTTTGTATGCAAAAAAAAACCTTAAAAAACATTCGCTCAAATATTCGCTCATTACCTGAACATAGATTGACAGATGGCAGTGTATTATTTTGGAAACCTTGCACAAGATTAGATGAATTTATTGCAAAGTTCACAATTACCCTGGTGCACCATCCAGAACTGAAAAATATATATTAACTTACGAGTGTCTGGTGATATATTTTCCTGGTGATGAAACAATAAGTCTTGTCGTTTTAACATGTTTTTCTTAATCTTATCATAACATAGCTCAATTTTCTAATAGAATTGTAACAGTAAAATTAAGACAAAAATATTTTCTTAAAAAAATTTGTTTGACTATGATTACTTAAATATGATAAAACATCTTCAATGATATATTGTGTTATACTTTTGTGTTTCACATTATTTGATAATAACATAATTACATGATTTATATGTGGATATTTAGAATTTCACTGTTTTTAATTTTTTTTAATTAATCTTTTCGCACAAGCCCTTTTAACTTGTAAATCTTTTTATTGAATTTAGTAGTTTAATTTGAACTACTTGTGATTATATATTGACGAAATAATTAATATATAATTAATAATAATTAAGTTATGATATAACTTGAAAGTGCGAATAAAAATATATATTAAGTACAAAATTTAAATTTAAATGGAAATAGTTTTTATTAGCAACACACATAAACATAAAACTAAATCAAATTACTTATTAATTATTTACATCACTTGTTATATATAATACATATTCATTACAAAAAATTAATTTTAATTTTTTTTTTCAAAGTTTGCGTTATCATAATTGAATTTCAAATTCGCGGTAATATGCGGGCATACAACACAATAAGAAAAATGAAAAATATTGAATTGAAGAGTGTGGCTACCCTGCACCTAAACAAGATTTTCAACATAATTTCTTCTGTCATTCTCTTTACTTGTTTTCTTTTTGCTGGAAGTCAGTTTAAGTTGGTCTGTCAGTGGCAGTTGACCAATATATGAAAAAAGAGAGTAAACGGTTGATCGAGTTGAAATATTAAAATTTGTTTTGTTTTTCTGTTTGGAAAGTAACAATGCAAATCGTGAAAAATATAATTTTTAAATGAAAATAAATAAGTTATGTGACTTAAAACGTAATTTGTGGTATTAGTTTGCTGCTTTAATCAAATGTAAGAATTAAAATAAAATTATACTCAAAGTGCAAGTTTGAATGTGCTCAAATTGGTAGAATAATAGACGTGCAAAATTATTTTTATTAAAAAAGTCGAGCTTAGTGTGTTAAAAAAGATTTTTTAGAAATTATTAAGGATAGGTTTTCTTTTGAAAATATTGTGCCAGTACCAAGATTCTACGGAAGCTGCAAAACAACGGACGAAAGGCTTTAATAAGATTGTGACTTGAGCTCACTTTAAACCTGTTGCACTTGCAACAAGTGCTTTTGTGTGTATTTACAAACAATTTTTCGGTGTAACAGTAACTCCACTTACATTTTTATCGTGTAATTAATGATAAAAGGAAGAAGAAGAGAAGAACCGATAGATGAAAATGTTTTGTAAATTACAATTTAAATGTCATTATTTTACAATTTTCCAGCAGCAGTCACTGGAAAAAAAAAACGAATCAATTTAAATAAGTCCAACCGTTGTTTATTTCCTCCCAAATAATATATTCATAATAGTGTATCTGTGCAAATAAAAAATAAAAAAGTAAAAAAAGTATATTGAAAGTAATTTTTATTCCTATAAATGTGAAAATTACTGCTCTTCTTGAATTTCATGTAATTTTTATTTTTTTTTTTTTTTTCAACAACAAAACAACAAAAAGCATGTGTATTAAATATATATGAAATTTTTTTATAACTTAGAATGCTTTGAACTATTTTTAAAAATGTGATATTAAAGCACATTTCAAATTTCATTAAATAAATTTCATATATATTTTTTCTACACCAAATCTGTTTTCCAACAAAAAAAAATAAATATTTTTAGGCCAGCAAAACTAGAAATCTTATACTTTCGAAACAGACCCGTCATTTTAATTTTATATTTTTAAAGTCTAAATTCAAAATTTTTATTTTATAATTTGATCTAAAAACTGAAGACATTCAATAATTAATCGTGGTTAATCCCCATCGTCATGACTGAAGGCGAAGAAAATTGTCTGGCGTTGCAAAAGTTCAATTGCAACTCTGAGGGCAAATCTTCACAAATGATGGCAAATGAAAACAGTACGGAAACTATTGACTCCACATCGCCAACTAATTCAACAGACTCATCTAACACGAGTGATACAAGTGAATTAACCGTGCCCAGTGCTACCAGACCAAATTCAATCCATGGTTGCGCAAATCCAGAAGGATGCGTGACACTGCAAAAAATATTGGAATCATTCAAATCTGCTCTTTCGGAGGAACAGGCCTGGGCACTGTTATATCAATACACCGCTTTTTACAAAAACGCAGCACAACTGAAAAATGGCTGCATCTTTCAAATGGCAGAGATACCTGAAAATATTGATCAATTCCACATACAAGTAGATGGAGCGGTGCACTGTTCTTGTGCTATATCCACAACCACAGAACTCACAACAAAAGACGTACCACCTGAAAGAAATAAGGAAATTGGTAAGCATAAACAATTCAAAATTAAGTGCATCTAAGTATATGGATAGAAATAGAATATAAATATATTGATGTTTAGAACAATTTATTAAATTCAATAAGTTAATGTCGTAGTGGCCCTTTGCGCCTTATAGGATCTACGGGAACTAATATATATAATGTTCGTTGACATATTATAAAATACATTAAGATATATACCTATATACACAAATACTATTAAAACTAATATTTTCTTAAAATGCGTTAAATTTATTCGCTTACTTCAATTATTCTTTCCCTTTTAATTGAAAATACTCGTTGATAACAAATAGCTCGTTATATGTTAAAAAATAGGTAAGTTGAGTCATGTGGTTTTGATTTCCATATATGGGCTTTTTGAAATGATTTAAACGCAATGACTCTGCAAATGTCTTTAATTTGATAGTAGCGAATCAGAAACGTCTATAAAAGTTTCGATTATTGAAAATATAAAAACTAAATGGGTGAGGGTATCAATTGGACAACTTATAAACAACTTATATACTAAATACTCGAAACAACTGTATGATCAACCAAAAAATTCAAGCATTTATAATAAAATTTTGTTGCTGTGATTCACTACTTTTCAAAACCCTTCTACTAGTAAAATAGTTTTCTTCTTCTTTCCTTTATAATTGATTCCAAAAAATAAATTTAATAATTATTTTATTTCGGAAAATATAAGACCTAGAAAATTTTAAGATTAACCGGAAAAGCGTTAAATAAAAAAGCTAACCACTTTGAAAGTCAAATCTCAGAAGAATTCATGGCATTGCTTCGTTGGTAGGACTGAAATTCTTAAAATTTCCAAGTACTTAGTGGTACTTGGTGTAAATTACACCAAGTACTGTTCTTAGTGGTAAAGAAACTCTTCTCTGGTTGTAAATAACGGTTTATAACGGATAACGGTTTATAGTGCATTTATAAGATATTTTGATATAAAATGGTTTTGTTTTAACTTCAAAATATCATATTATAATACTAATCAAGAATATATATAGTGTCTAAAATAAATATATAGGTAGTCACAATTTCTTCAAAGAGGATAAAAATTTTTAATCTTTTAAGGGTTTTCAGTATCAGACGGAGGCAAGAGTCCCCCCATATAATAAATTTGCGTTGATAACAATAAAAAAAATGCAAAGAAAGAGGAATTGTAAATTTCAACATAATTTTTGTTTTATTTAGTTGAAATAAAATAGTATTCAGTAATAAAATAGTATCTTCTGTTCTAATTGACTTTAAAAACAAATCTAAAACTGTGAATATCCATTGCAAATTATTGTGAACAGCAGAAAAAAAAGGTCTTCATTTATTAAGAGACCTCTTCGCTATTCTTTAGTACCTTCGACAAGGCTCAGTCATAATATTATTGCATATATTTCTCAATAAGAAATATATAAGAATTCCAAAGACTACAGTGTCCTTATTTGGAGATTTATTAAACATTATTTTTATTTAATATTGTGTATACTTATCTATGGCAATTGGTGTCAGTAGTGTATGTTTTATTCATAAATCACAAATGCGTTTGAATTTATATTATTATGTATCGTTTACTATCTACAGGTAGTTTATAATCACAAAAAGAAAAAGAATGTATATATTATTTATTACTCTTCACAAATTACTACATACTTATTCATATATGTATATATATAACAGTTCCTAATTTTCAGTTTTTTTTTAAAGATATCTATTCCATTTACAGTAGTTTTATTTAATTATGAAAATGATAATAGGAAGATCATATAGTATATTAGAAATTACTAGTGGACATATAAAATAACTCTTTAAATTTAAATAAATAAATCAAATTTAAATCAAATTTGTTAAAAATAGAAATAAATTAAAAATATATAATTGAAAAGTTAAATTTGGTAACGCAGTATATTTACTAATTTGTATTTTCTGTTTCAAATTAAAAACAAAAAAAAAATTGAATTAAAAATATTAGTTTCACTTTTTAGTGAACTTGATATTTAATTGCATTCAGACTTTTGCATAGACCTATATGTACATCTTTTAAAATAATAATAGCGCCGACGACTATCAGTAGAATAATAGCAGTATAAGAGAAAGGGAAGAAGGAAAAAATGCTGAAAGAAAATAAAAATCTTATAAAAGTTATATAAAATAAGAGGAAATGTTTTCTGTTGGAAACCTCCTTTCGAACATTTTCAACGTTACCAATCTCAGAGTTTGTTTATAGTATAATCACAGAAGTATTATTTAATTGAGATTGATAAAAACTTTATGAAAGAGTTTTATACTACGCACTAGAGTTATTGTCACTCGAATATAATTAATGTTCAAAATATATCAACAGTTTTATTATGTAGACAATTTTTATCAGCCCCAATATCAGTTAAGGTTGCAAGAATATTTTTTAATGACCTATTTAATACCTTTGCTCCATATTAGATGTACAAATGCTAACATATATGTTAGTAGACCTCATGGCGTTATTGTGCTCTTAAGCTTATTAAGCTCTATATTGTAGTTGGTCTCTTTGATAACTTTATGCTTGCTGACTAAGGTGCTGCTGGCGACACGAAAAAAATCTAAAGGTCATTCGAGCATATAAATTAAAACATAGACAGATACGTTAGACAATATATATAGTACATAGTCGCTGAACTTATCCATTTGCTTATTCGCTTCTTCGCCTTTTCAGTGATCACATTTTCAATTAAAAATTGAAATCGTCGACAAAATTTTACGCGAAGCGTATATCTTATCAAGAACATCACACATATGATTATGATTATACGTATGCTTGTGCGTGAACTTTCAAAGTACAAATATTATCATTTGTTTTTAGTGGTTTCACTGATAAACGGTTTAAAATAAAATAACACCAAATTATTATTTTATTTGACAAAAGCTTCGTAACGAATTTCATACTGACTCGATTTTTTGCGCTATTCACGAGTATTGATAAACCAAATAACAACAAGTGTTGAGTTCTTCATTCGGGTGATGATTCTTGAAAGCCACACTTGTTAATATTAATATTCCAGTCACATATACTTTTATGATTAATTATCCACTTGAAATGACTTCATTCCCTAATATGCAAATACACATGTTACTATTTACACAGACTTAATTAAGAAATAAATTTTATACATATAATTAGAAAATGATTAAATTATCTAAAAAATATGTGGACAGATATTTTCGGTTACGATGATTTATGGCATACATGGATCCTTCTCTGTCAACGGTTAAGAAAAAATAAAAAATAAAAAAAACCGTTAAAACATATTTGTGCTCTGTTGAGATGTGACATCATTTAGTATTTTCAAATTCTTAGATCATCAATGTGGTATAGGTATTTAGAAAGCTTCTATATAGCATAAGAAGAATGCAGCTCCAACTATTTTGAGTTAAGCTAGCAGTTATCTTTTTTTCACAATATCTGGATTGCAGAATCATACACAAATCTGGGTCAAGGTCTTTTATCAGGGCTGAAACAAAACGTAATTACTGGAAAAGTTGTAAAGCTACTATTATTTATTTCATTACATGCCTGTTCTTACAACAATAAAGATACTTAGGCCTTAATTAGTTGTGCTCTTCATACTATCTAAATCAGATTACAAATATTTGTGTTTTGGTTACTACTCGTAATTTCATTACAATTGATGTTACAATGCAAGTGTTCACTTTTTTAAAGATACAAAACCCTTATCACTTGAAATTTCCTATTATAGAGTTAAGTAATCTCTTTCACAATTAACTTTTATCTACGAAAGTTTGTTTTTATAATATTGTGGATTTAATGGAACTATTTTTTCAAGTTTTGGGTTTTATATAATTTTTGAGACAGAAAACTATTTAAAAAATACAGCAATAGTGATAGTTTATAGTAATAGTTTATTATTTCAGCACTTTGCGCTTACATATTAATTATTGATGTAAATAAACTCTTCAAGTGTTATTCCAACTGTATAAAATCGGGCGTTTTAATGCCAGAGTGAGAAAAAGTCATATGAGTGCAAATCACAAGTGAATATAAAGAGTGGCTCACCTTACTGACGCATGTAATTGCCACTAGATGGTCTTACCGTAAATACCTATTTTATTTTAAAATGTCATTTTTACTTTAAAACGCACATAATTAAATTTTCTTATGACATAAAAAACATCTGCATACCCCTAAGAATTTCATTACAAATGTAGTATATTGAATTTCTTGAGTTCCTACATAGTTCAAAGATGTGAACTAAAGACGTTGTAGGCGGCTGACTTGTCAATTCCAGCGTACCGTTTGCTTTGTTAAGCAGGATGATGTTTTCCTGAGCATGTGGAAAATCTACTTCCGTTTTCTTCTTTTGATTTTAGTGGACGCCTGGGTTTGTTCCGTACGTTCCCAGAGATCAGTATTGGATATGTGCTCCGGCCACCATATTTTCAGTATTCTTCTTAAACATTTGTTTATGAATACTTGGATGCGCGATTGAATAGAAGCCGAGTTTTTCCACGTTTCACATCCGTAATACAAAGTTGATGACGGTCGAGTTAAATAAACAAAGCTTAGTGTGAGTGCTTATTTAATTAGAATCACACATTATTTAACTGCCCGAAGGCTGACTTGGCTTTACTCAGTCGGGTTGAGACGTCTTTTTCAGCAACACTTTTATCCGTGATGATGCTGCACAAATATGTAAATGATTTTGTATCTTATGTCTTTTTGTAGCAAATTATTACAATTTCTGTGACGCTCTGCATAACATGCATTTTGGTCATAGCCAAAAAGAGCTAATTTTGATGAGCCCATGATACTCTACAAAGCATGGCCCTTAGAAAAAAAAATAGTTTCAACTTCTATTTAGCATTGCATAAATTATTATTTTATTTTTAGATGAGCAAATCAAACCATAAATAAAATTATATACAGGTGCAAATTTTTCCATTTGAATATGTCTATCACTTTCCATATAGTTCTAAATATCACAAGTCATTTTTGTCGATTACACACTATATCAATTGTTTCTTAGGTGGTCATAAGAAACATAGGTGGTCATTGCTTTAATGTGTCTAGATCTGGTCTCAAATAAATCTTATAAATAAACAAATAATCAAGCACATTCTGGAACAAATATTCTGGAAGCCAAAATAAAGTGTAACGCTGACGGGTTAGTATAATTGCAATGATTGGAGACAAACTGTAGAAAATTACATGTCGAAAACGTGATTCAAATGAAACGATATATGCATTATGTATATGTATATCCGAAGACCAGAAGAAGATCACCAAAAAAAGTAGGACATAAAATATTCGTTCTTAGAAAAAAACTTCTCTACATACATATCAATAATTCCATAATTAGTTTAATGAAAATACTGCTGATACAGTACCGCATAATAATGTAACTGAATTGCCTCATTTACCGTACATAGCTAGTCCTCACTTGCCTATATACTCCTACATATATGTACATATGTATGTATATAAATTTAATTAACAATAGTCTTGAGCTGTAAAAGAAGTGACTTTATGAAATAGATTGACCCAATATTGAATTGGAAACTGAAACCTAAAAGTGCTAAAAAATGGTATGTTAGGGTAACCTAAAAAACAGAAAAAAAAAAATAAATAAATCTTAAAAAAACATGCTATCATGCCACATCAATCTACATACGTACATCAAGTTCTCACATTATTACTCCGTACATTATACATTATTTTTTATTTTTTAATTACTCCCATAATAATAATAATAAATAAAAAATTCATATTTGTTTTTTACGAGCACCTTTTTCTTCTTCTTCATGCACTTCTCATTGTTTATTTTTTAATAGAAAGACGAGTAGTAAAATTATTTACATACTCGTCAGTTTTTATTGAGCAAAAGTAATTTATTTTATATTTTTTAAAATAATTTCTAAAGAGCATTTATTATCGTTAAGTAATGAAGTCGTTATCAGTTATTATTGAAATCGCATTAAAATATTATAAAGCATGTGCTAAAAAAAGCACGATGACGTACATTTACCGATTTACTGATAATTCCGTAAATTAAATTTGTAATCATTTGTGGTAATTATAATACTTTCTTTTCTTACTTTTGCTTTTCTTGCTCTTATTTCACTAAACTGCGTTAGGATCTTGTACAACTCCACCACCAGTAGTTACAACATCTTAACAGAGTACTTTCTGTAGGGTCAGAATTATTAAAATTTAGTCGTAGGCAATTGCGACTGTTCGATGATTCAATCAGTCAATTAATGGATAATAGAATACTGATCTTTTCTTGCTCCAACTTCAGTTCACAGTGTCAGGTAAGTCTTAGGATGGTGCTAAAGGAGTGGGGAATATACTAGAAAATATTTTTCTTGGGAGTGTTTTTGCAGAGGGAGTGTCAGGATCATACACAATTCTGTTATCAGTCTTTACTAAGTCTTAGCAGAGTAGTATTCAGTAGAGATATACTAGAAAATATTTTTCTTGGGAGTGTTTTTGCAGAGTATTATATACAAATTATATTGTCAAGGGGGATCTATAATGATGAGTATAGAAGTTCGTTCCTTAAAAGGTATGAATATGTTAAAACTATACTATCGACAATTATTTCTGTATTCCAATCAACTCAAATTTAAAGTGTCAGTGCCTCATAAAATTAAAAATATTCTATGGTATTGAATTGGAATCATATTATTTGGATTTTGGACTGTATATCTCTAATCATTTAGTTCTTATTAACAACTAGCATCTAGTACAAAACTGAATAGACTAGTTTGTTTTAAAACAATTAAAGCATATCAGATATATGTTTCAACCAATAACTCTTATAATGCATAATGAAGTTAATTAATTTATTTATAGCTTAATCTTCTGCTAAAGTCTCTAAACAAAGTGAACTGTCGAAACAAAAACAGATTTCTCAGTAGAAATGCCCAGATTGATTCGGCTCAGTGAGCTGATCAAAAATATGCTTGACTTGGTGTTATATTACATATAACACTAGTATGTTGAATTTAGACGGTTTTCAGTAGATAGCACTTTCAGATAAAGATTAGAGAGCTTTATATAAAATATAAATATAAAACTATGTAAAACCTGAGATTAATGTATTTCAAAAGATTTTCAGAACAATTACTGCATTATGAAAACTTTGAACGGTATATAGCGACAGTATATATTTTCTTTATATAAAATAAGGTCTCTAATACTTTCTGCACTAGTTTATAAATATCTTAAAATAATTGTGCTATTATTATTATTTGTTATATTTTTAAATGAATTTTAAATTAGTTCAAGAAACTCACCAATATTAACATTTATTTTCAGATTTTCACAAAGCAGTTGCGGCCAAATTGGTAAGTAACACTTACAATACTAACAATTTATAGATCCGTTATAGAATACAACCCATAACATAAATACTCATCTTTGCAGATTAAAAATAATTTTAATTCAAAAAAAGTTTCAATCATTTGTCAAACTAATACGTATTTATTACAAGGTTTTTAGAGATCACTATTTCAAATTTTATTCTGATTATTAATATCGGAAGATTTCTAAGTAGATTTTTCATAACCATCACAGAAAACTCTTGCATTTATATTTGCTAAACTACTATTTATTGAAGTGCTCTGGCATGAATATAGTTTTAATATTTAAAATATATAAAACAAAGGTAACATATATTACGGATTTACCCTTCATATTTATCTAATCTGTTATAATATCTTTAATGATCTATATAATTAATATATTCAGATTTAAGACTAGAGTTAAAAATTTCGATCATGATGAACCAAATGCTATAGTAAATACTCGATGTTACAACTTCATTTATTCATTTTTAGTTTTCATATTTATTTAATCTGTTCTGATATCTTTAATGATCTATATAATTAACATATTCATATTTAAAGCTATAGTTAAAAATTTAGATCATGATGAACCAAAAGCTATAGTAAATACTCGATGTTACAACTTCATTTGTTCAAAAAAATGTGCATATGTATGTATATATATAAATATTTAGCAATGCAAATGATGCTGAATATCATCAATATATTCCCACTAAATACCTGCTTTGCATTTCATATATTGTACTACCTACGTATGCATAACTTAAATTTCATCTTCATCTTGTTTTTTTCATCTTGGATTTAATCAACACTAAAAACTCCAAAAAAGTTTTACCAACAACTCAATGCCGATACAGTGATACTTGATGTGTTATATAAATGCATAAATTCGATCTGTTTTGTTCGGTTAGGAAGTGTTCACCGGTAATGCAATGCCTACATAATGAGCACTGTAAGACATGCTCATTTAATCCAAAGCATTTAGTATCTTTACCGCATTGAAAATAACCTAGAAATAACCTAGCCTTTTGTGGTAAATGCTGTAGATATTTTGTTTCCGTCATTGCTGTTTGTAGTGCATTTTCAATATTTTGATTATGTACATATTTATTTTCTATGCATAATTTGAGATTTGAACATAAATTGAAATTTATTCGATACTTATCCAAATTGCAAATAAAAATTAGCCATAAAGAATCAAAATTTATATTTCCTCAATTCTTGTATGAAAGCATTTTCCTTCTTAAGCTGTAAGCTATTCTCATCCACATTTACTAGTCTATGGAAATTTATATGATTTCATTAGTGCGATGAATTATTAAATATAATTACTTCCTGCACACCCACAGATCATCTGGCATAAAATTTTAAGTAGAAGTAAGTAGGGTATTGCAATATGTTTTTATTTCTTCTTGAAGCTTATAGAAGTCTAAATACCATTACTTTATCGTTAGACAAACAGTTTTGCAAGAACGATATAACATTCCTTACTATTTGAGACCCAGAAATTGTATACACTTTTGTCAGATTATTCACTTTTGTAAATAGGAATCCTATAAAGACACAGACTCTCAGTCGCATAATTGATATTTAGCTATTTTTTTGCACCTTCTTCACAAAAACTTTTACAGAAGTCTTGATTGGTGGGGATACCCGAACTAGTTATTAAACAATAACTCAATTAGAATAACAAACGTAAGCTTCTTGTTAAATTTGTTATAATTTTTTTTTATGTATTTTTTTTTTGTGGTGCGTGTATTTTGATCAGAGCCTGAATTTTAAAGCTGAACCAAAAACGGGAAAATTCGTGTTTTTGATAGAACAACAACCGGTGCCAAACCGTTTATTTAGATAACGTTTATTTAGACAAAAACAAAAAACAAAACTCAATAAAATCCCTTGCTATAGTCAGTAACTCTCAGAAATAATTTTTATTGAATTCTATCTGAAGCCAAACACAGCTTCATTTCAGCTTCCGCCATTAGATTATGTCTTCCTTATCTATTGCTTTAAAGATTTTTATCTAGAAAATGTTAATAGTACTGACTACAGCAAGGGATTTTATTGAGTTTTGTTTTGTTTTTGTCTAAATAAACGTGATTTTTTCTGACTAGTAAAAGTGAAGGTATATTCCCTATGCGACACATCAGTACAGAAAGTCATACAGAGAAGTAAAAATGTATCAAGTATATATATTGTAAGTTCTTAAATTAACTTTCATGGTCAATACAGGAGAACGTCAACCAAAAATAGCATCTCCAGATTAACTGAAGTAAAGCCATTAGCCAATGCATCTAATGCAGCTAATGCTTTCGTAATTGTTTAGTGTCAGTTTATTTAATTAGTTTTTAGTTTTTTCAAATATAACAAACACTGGGAACGTATATGTAACTTTCTTTGAAGAAACGTGAGAGCCCTTGATTGCTTCTGCAAATACTACACACATCCAAATAATTTCGTTTTACATACAAAACAAAAGAATTGCGGTCGTTGTATTTGCTGCGTTTGTTCTACATATATGGTACTATATATATGTATATAAATATATGCATGGGTATATATTACTTTTTCCATAATTTAATGTCCATTATATACTCGTTAATTTTCCAACCCAAAACAAGGAATAAAACTAGTTTTACTAAAAACAATACCAAAACTCTGAACTCCGTAGCAATATGTGTTTCTGTAGCTAGTCCGTTATTAACAATGCACCTCTGGAAAAAACACTGCTTCATACTGCGAACACCCCAAGTTGTATTTCACGTTCATGCTCCACGATGCGCTTGAATGCCTCCGGTGCCATGTCATAGTCACACATGCACAACATTTTTCGCTTTGCAACTCAAGCATGCAAGTTAATTTCCAAAGAACAGAGCATTTTTCGCACAGTACAGTAGGAAAAACGTGCATTAGAACCAACTTAAAGGTACTTTTGTGTGTTTTCATGGTCGAAATCTTCTGTTATTGCCCAAAGTTCTTTCACAAACTCCTATTTCTCGAAAAGTGTGTTCTCGAAATTGCTTGCAGTGTTATTGAAACGATTTCGTTTTTATAGGAGTGCGTGGAAAAGGTCACACCTTTACTCCATTCCCTTATCAGTGGTTATTTTGTTATTTATGTGTATTTGGATGCAAAATAATCACGCTTCAATTCATTAATAAAATCGTTTGAATGGAGCAAATAATTACGTAGACAATGAGATTGGAGTTGCTGCCATGAGTCGCCATGAGTCATATACACAATAAATAAATGCGACTATTGTTTACACAAATTTATTTTCATATACATAGTATGTATTTTTAAAATCTGATTCAAGGTTTCAAAAAATAATTGATAAGTTCGGTTATTTTGATACTAACCATGTATGACATAGATAATCTGTTATTCTATTTATGGACTATTGTGTATATATTAAAGGGTCTTATCGACTTCTAAGTAGTTAAGACATTTATAGAACAATGTTGACAAAGAAGTATGAGCTAAATGAAGTGAAAAATGGACTATACTAATGATAAGATATTTGATAGAACAACCTTTAGAAAGAGCTTTGAAATCCTCAAAATAGTTTTTTACCAAAGAAATAGAGTATAGAGCAAAATTTGATAATTCGACTTTTAGAATTTTTGTTGCATTTCGGCATAAGAAGAGGAAAGTCTCAGAATACGAATACTGATACAATTTCAAAGAAATCAATGTTATGTTACATATATGTATATACATACCAAGTGTATTCGTATACAGGCATGCTGGATCAGTTTTAGTTTTAATCGTAGAGTTGTAGATGATAAAGATAGTTTTAAATACACTCATCTACTTAACAGTAGACTTAGTAGTGTTTAGAAATCTCTAAATGCTAGTATGTTTGCATTGATATTAAGTCTGTCTTCGATTTTAGTAAACCCAAACCCATGTTATCACTGATTTGTAATATTAGCAACATACAAATCTACATGAACTGTATTTATCTAAAAACACGATTATCTTAAACTTTCTCTGCCACAGGTGATAAGAACTGAAGACGGTTTTAAACCAACATTAGTACGAATATAGAGCTGCTATTAGCAGTAAATTTATGATGAAGAATCACTGAATGACACTGAATCTAAAGAAGCTAATACCATGAGTTTTGTTGGCCTGTTTTTAGTTTTTGTAATTAATGAACATATTTATTATTTATAGAAAAGCATTAGAGATTATCGTAAGTCTTAATTTATATCTTGTGACAGGTGGTGAGTGAAAATCCAGTTTATTTTTTATACAAATTGTGATTAGTCCTTAGCAAAGAATTTACTGGCGAAAATCTCTGCATAGTACTACAAGTTTGAGTTACTATTTTAACGGTGCAGCAGCGACCGATTTGTTTGCATGAGCATGGGCAGATGGGATACTTGGTAATTTCAGAATTTGGAATTTGACACAGTCGGGTAGATGTGTTGAGTAAACTGGCAATCTGCTGAGGGGATGGGTTTGTACCTACTGAGGTGGATATAGGCCCATGAGGGTGACGGAGCTTCAGTCTACTAATTGCCGACTGAAGGTCTGGGCACCAAATTAAAAACAAATTGTGGTGTGCACTTTCGAAGTCAGCAAAAAGTAAAAATTTTACGTTTATTAAATATTAACTACGAGATCTTAATTGAAACAAACAAATTTCTTTTTACGAATTTTTTTTTTAAATTCCGCAACAATTAAAATAAAAAATAACAATAAAAAAGCTTTGCTATCAAATTATTTATACTCTTAATATTAATATATTCATTATGATCTAGTTTTTGAAAATATTTATGATGTATTGGAGGGATATATGTTAATAAATCAATTATATCTGCAAATTTTTCGAATGCCATGAGTCTAGAATGAGTCTAGTACTATAGTTCCAAAGTTCTGTGGTATTCCCCGTGAGGGTTATAAATTAACTGATTTAAAATCTTTATTCTCACTGAATAAAGTTTTAGAGATATTGTATATGTGGTTTGCTTTTTGAAACCCTTATCTAACACATCTTCAATCGATTTTTTTGGAAAAAGTTTGTGCATAAAAACTTCATAGTATATTATATTCATTTTTATCATTTACTAATTTTTTGTCAAAATGGACTTACACTACTTTTAAAGAAAACGGGTCATTGATTGATGAATAGAAAATTTTGATAGTATTTTTCTATTCGTATTTGGTTGCTTAACGATCTTATCTTTATTATTTTTATCAGAATCTTATAAAGCAGTCATCTAACTTTCATGAAGAAATACTATTTTAAAATAAAAGTCTTACAATGCTACTTTTGACATTAATTTACCATAAAACAGTTATTAATTTTTATTCAATCTCTATAATTAATTCAAACTTTTTTTCTGTATTTTTATTAAATAAAAGAACAATAATTGATATATTACTAATTTGAGTATATCGAGTACTTTCAACCTAGTAACCACGTAATTCGGTAAATAATACCGTAGTGTAGTAATATCATGTAATTTAATTTAAGCTTTTTGCAGTGTGGTTTAGATAAGATAGAGTTGCAATTAACAGTTCCTATTTTATTAGAACTATTGCGTCACTTTTTAAATTACAATCAATATTTTACAAAAACTGATTCTTTATCAAGTTTGGGTTTATAGCGGTTTATAGTATATGCGAATACTAAGAGATTCATAATTTCCCTTAGCTAGCTTTACTCTTAATAATATATATTATTATATTTTAATTTAATTTTCTCCGATCTGTTGCAACAACAATAGTGACTAATTTCGTGATCTGAAGTTTGACCTATAGTTTTAATAAGAAAAAAAATTTGCCGATTGGATTTATAAAAAATCTTGTACAATTATGCGGTTAACAGAATGACTAAGAAACAACACCTTAAATTAAAAAACGGACAGACAGACACATTGACATCGTTAAATCATCATTCAAATCAAGAACGGTAATTTAATCATACATAAAATAGTACGATAAGTTTCACAGTCTTCACAGTCAACCGATTTTGTACTTTTTTAGCACTTCTGTCAAGTCTAACTTCTGTCGTAAGTCTTTCAAATAGCATTGATGTTTCACTTAACCAAATTATATTTTTAAAAACTAAATATGGTCCATTCTTTAGATAAAGTAGCGAAGCTTTGTTCGTCTACATTTTGTAGATTAGTTGGTTATATTTATGTTTCACATGTTTTCAATTTGTTCATTATACCAATATTAAGGTATTGTTCTAATTAAGACATGTAGAGAGTTAACCTTTAACATTTTTACTATCGCTGATTTTCATCTGATAGTGTTTTGTTTATTAAAAAGATATTGCTTTTTGCTTTTCCTGAGTATATTTGTTTGCTTGCCTAAGATCACTTTCACAAATCAAATCTACTTTCCATTTGATTTTGTGTCAATAAAGAAAGTTGCAAATACAGGACTTGGTTTCACATGTTATAGCCCGTTAAAAGATCTCTTCAGCTACGTGTGGACCTAGTAAGGTATACCACACTCACCATACCCCGTTAGTTTGCAATATATGAATGAATAGGAATATAAAACATCACTCATAGCAAGGCATCAGAGCAACGTCGTCACCTTAGTAAATTAGTTACGGTTTGATTTTTATAAACAAAACGTTAATTTAATAGATGGAGCTTGAGGTACAAAGCTACAGTTTATACACACATCAAAACTAAATAAGTTTTTAAATAGTACTTCTAAGCATTTAAATAGTACTTCAGCATATGTGCTGAAGTGCTTTATTTCATATTGTAGTGAAATTACAACATAGTCTAATAGTTGGTCTACTATCTCTTGGCTTGAGATGACTTTGAAATCATGTCAAAATAATTTTGCTGCTCTAATCAACCCTTTTTCTTTCTGACAGATGATATTTAAAAATCTGTTGGAACTTTAATTTCTAATATACCTAGACCTCGTCATTATCGGGTTTTAAATTTTTTATACAATTTTGTATATCTTGAGATTTATGCAGTTGTCAAGTTGATTTTTGCTAACCAAATATTTGATTTACTTTGATTTTCTTATTCGTTGAGTTTGTTATCAAATAATTGTCAATTTTTTCTACTTATTATGGCTTATGTCCTTCCATATTTGTTTCATTCAAGGGTTTAAGTTGAGTAAAAAATATATTGAACGAATTTAGGAAACTAAATAATAGCTTCATAATATATAAATATATTTTTTGTTTTGATTATGTAGATAATGTATGTTTCTAATCTATTTGCAGATACTACGCAGGATTGCCATCAATATTTATGCAGTGCTGGATTACAACCTACCAGCAGAAGAACAATGTCAAATGTCACAAGAGCTAGAAAATTTGATAACTTTAATGACAGCTGATGGTAAATATAATATGTGTTTTATGCATAAAAAAACATTTAATTTCTCATATAAGACCCAAGTTCTTAATTACATAAATAGTCTTTTAACTATTTAACTTCTAAAATTATGACGTTAATGTGAAAAGTTTGTGGTTACAGTCATAATGAACTAAAATAACTTTAAAAAGGAATAAAAATTTACCGAGAAAAGTATAGACCTGTACATCCAAAACTTTCTTTGACATTGCAAATTAGCGATATATATATATTTTTTAATGAATTGTAGACAACATCAAGGTTTCCTGTTTTCTGTTTCCGAGAAAACAGAAAACTGTTAGTTTTATTTTTCATCACTTAAACCCGTAGGCATTTTCTATGGTCTAATAACGGTTATACGTACCTATGTGCCCAATCAGTGTTAAGAACCAAATTTTTATATTATTAATTTCTTTTCAGAAAACGATGACGATTGCGTTGATGAAGGAATTGAAGATATTAAACGTTGGGATGAGTATGGTGAAGATAAAGGCGAAAATTTTAATGAATTTGAATATGTATTGAAGGTAATCATATAAATCTTTACTATTTTTGAACCTACATATACCAATTGCAAACATATTCTTAACGAATTTGTTAATTAATTAACAATTAAACTTAAAATATGTTTATTAATTTTAACAGCGAGCAAAGTCAACAAATCAAAATTTTTTATTAAAATTTTTATAAATATTGTTGTTAATATATCAGTATTTTTTTTAAAGCAATTAATTAACTTTATTTCTGCTAAAATCTCTTTTAGGCATGTGAGGAACACATAAAACCAACAAGCCCGGAAGATCACTATAAAGCTGTCTGTCGTGCTTTAGTATCCGAGGCGATTGAATTTAATGCATTTCTCCAACACGTTCTACATGGTAAGTCCTACCTACTTATTATCTAATCATTTAGGACCATCATAAAAGTATTAGAAATTTGTATTCAATTTACCTCATTTTGTTAATTTTATTTCAACGGACTTTTATTTTAGCTTAATTAATAATAATTAGTAATACATACATAAATCTATTTGACGCATTGTGTCACATTTTGATATAGATATGTATATCATATTTAGATAAAGATATGAGTATGAGTATGAGCAATTATAATTAGTATGGTGTATTTATTACAAAATTAGTCATTGTTCATCTGGTGCGACAATCCAATCAAGTGACGATCACAGTATTTAGGTTTTCTAATTTTTATGGCTCATTTATATAATGTATGTATTCTATTCATAAGTTAAATTGTTTGTTGAGTCAGAAATATATACTCACTGATAAAATTATAATATTTCCAAGCAATCCAATCAAATCTGGGGTTACTAGATAAAAATGTTACTGACAAGATATTTTATATTATATTAAAACAATTACCATACATACTTCTCAAATAGCTGCATTCGTCTGTTATACAAAATCATCTTGATCTCTCTAACAATAGGTTTCTAATATTCGGAATTCACTTTATGAACAAGATTAGGAATTCTCTCCTAAAAAACAAAACCGACTTCATGTTCGAGTTTTGTTCAGAGAATGATGATACCATTTCTTTAGTATCTCTTCTAATCTTTTCATATTATTTCTTTTATTGGGCATTTCTGAACTATAAGCGCATAACATAGTTCTTTTCAAACATTATCTGTTATTGAAATAATAACTGCTAAATTTTTTTAGTAAAACATAAATCAAAACACAATTGATATGTTAACATCTTTATTTATTCTTCTAAATAATATTGTATAATACGTAGACTTAAAGATATATTATTGTGGGTAATAGCCTTGAGATTTAACCTTAAGTCCCTAATATTTTTTCGTTTTTGCAAAAGTCTCTCTTTGTTCCCCTTCGTTACGAACGTTAAAATTCCGATTCCAATACTAAGCGTTGCTTCGTTGTAGATGACGAGCAACTCCGTGAAGGAAGCCTACGCCTTCATGGATATTTGTTAAAGCTATTATCACATATTCTCTCTATGTAATATATATATATACTACGTTCAGCAATGCTATTTGTCTTAATTTGTGTGTCTCCAAGGCACATATTCAAGTACCTTTCTTAGTTTGTTAATCATAAACGATAGTATGTTTCGAAAGTTCATTCACACGCTTTATGTTCTCATACATTTTTCAAATTAATGTAGTTTATATTACGAAACCTTTTCAAATATTACTTCTAAGCTTAAATCTTTTATATCTGTGCCATTCAAATAAGCCTTACATATATTGTGTTCTCTCTTATTTGCTATCCATTGTGAAAACAAAAAAATTTGCTATCCTTCGAAATTTAATTCATTATTTTATTATTGTTAACTTTTATTATCTTTTTAATAATAATGTTTATTGATTGACACAATGAAAACTTGATCAATTGCTCTTTAATAACCTTAATATACTGCTATAAGAAAGAGTTCTATCTATAATTGTATCTTCATATCTTATTTATATTCAGTAAATTCTACTTTAATGAGATATTTTTGTGTATTTATTGTTATTATAAAATATTCAATTAATAATATTTATTTTTGTAGGTCCTTCAGATATGCACATGGAAGAAGAATCTCAAACATCACAACAAGAATTAGCACAACTGGGTTTTATGGATTGGGTACGATAATTATATTTTTAATAAAAACCCAATTAAGATATTATATTTTTGAAGAATAAAGAAAATATTATTTATATTACAATCCGCATAAGTACTCTGTTATTTGAGTTTCTATTGAGAGGTATGAGTGACACCTGATTGAAAAAGCGAGTGGGAGTAATATCAGTTTACTTGTCATTTTTTGTCATAATTTTTTACATATATTAATATTTGCAATATTGCAATCTTTTAAAATTATAAATGCTCAATGAAATATGCTATAGTATACCATAGTATATAGTATACCATAGTAAATACATTTAGAACTTTTATTTAAAAAGCATAATATTTAAAAATAGGATGAACAGTATAGACTCTTCTTAGTCTAAAACAATTATACCTTTGCATTATAGCGCTTTACAGGACTAAATGACTGCCATCCAATTTTTATCAGTATAATATTTTTAGCTGGATTATTCAAAATTTTCTTAAAAGTGACTATATGGTGTTTTTACAATATCTTACCTTGTATCGAGACGTCGCACATCTTTAATCAAAGTGTATTAAATAAAAAACTTATGTCAACAATATGGTCGACCAACTGGTAAGAACTGGACCACAACATTCCATAATATTAATTCCAATAGATATGGGTATAGATATATTAATTTTAATCAAATTTACTATATATACAGGATATTTTAAAATGGCGTATCGAAAATATCCCGAATAGCACACATGTTAAAGCACACATATGATATGGCCCAATAGTAAAATATGTACAATTATCGTACTAATAGAACACTATCTCATTTGAAAGCATGCCGACTGATAAGGTAGTTCTTTCAATGACTTTTGTTATATGTTAGCATAGGGACATAGAAAGAAGAGATTAATGTCACTTACTACAAAGCGTATATCCACTCTTGGGTTTCTGTCCGAGAGTAAAAGCGTAAATTACTGCAATATGCGTCAAAGACATTACTTGTTATAATAGAATGACTAAATCCATAATAAAGCTAAAATTACATAATCCTCTTAGAACAGAATTAGTCATTTATCACCTTATATTATTATATATATATAATTATATTTACATTAAGAACAAAATCGTTAAATGTTTCAAAAATATTTTATAGGCAAGATTTTGGGTTCAAGTAATTGATGAGCTGCGACGTGGCGTTAGATTAAAAAAGCGAAACTACGAACGTACTCCTATAGAATACGAGTTGACGCCCTATGAAATTCTAATGGAAGACATCAGATTCAAGTAAATAAAACTAATATAATTGTGAATTTTTTGAATTAACTTTTTGAATTATCAAATTATTAACCCTTTTTTGCAGACGCTATCAACTACGCAAGGTAATGGTCAATGGGGAAATTCCACCTAGAGTTCGAAAAAGCGCACATGCACTGATATTAGATTTCATCAGATCACGTCCGCCATTGAAAAAGGTATAAAAAGATTATTATAACATTAAAAACTTCTCTCTCTCTCTATAACCAAATGTCAACACTTTTTTCAAGACAATAGAAAACAAATATAATAATAATAAATAATAGATTAAATTTTATCAAGTGTGATTTTCACATTAATAACTTACATATATATTTCGAGCATATATATAAATTTCATTATTTCATAATAAATAGTAATAAATAATTTATTAAAGACATTGCAGAGGATATGATAGCCAGAATATATATGTACTACATTATGTAATAGTTAATATTCTAAATGTTGGATCATCATCTTTATGGTTGACGGTTGCATTATAAATATTCATTATATTATAAAACAATGGTTTCAATAAATTCATCAAACTGATTATATGTAGTTATGATGTATGTCATATAGTCATATATATTATGCTAGTATAATTTACTAATCTTATTGATCAATACTTTGTCATCTCTGTAATCCACTGATGTAGTTCACTATTGAAATAAATATACAATCTTAAAAATTAAATTATTCTAGTACGATTAATAAATTGGTATGTGAAAGCTCTAGTTATACCCAGTTTTTATGCTACTGCTATTGAACGGCATATATAATAAATTAATCCAAATGCATATATAATACATTTGTATTTATGTATCTGGACATACATTTATATAGAATCTGGAAATTTCATATTAAAGAAAGTCATATTAGTATCCCAATACTTAGATTTTTGGGTGTCGAAATACTATATTTTCCAAGTAAAATCTTGGACATTGTACTATTTATGAAAAGTTCCAGAAACTCATAGCATATGATGCAACCCTTATTGTTGGATTAATTCTACACATATAAATTTGAGATCCTGCACGCGAATCGTACGGATCTATAACAAAAAAACGTAAAGAAAACTTAAATAATTATAAAATTTAGAAGTATCTAGGAAGAAATTTACAACAAGACGAAACTGTACGACATATTATAACTTTATATAACATATAAAAGTAAAAGTAGAATATCCATTTATTTACTAATATATATCTAAACTGCTATGATACCTATACATATACGTAATAAATACAAATTTTACACGATTATAGCACTAAGCAATAACTTAGTATATGTTATATTCATCATCATCATTAGTGGCGCAATGATCCTAGTTGAATCTTGACCTATCTTTCAAAAATTCCTCCATGTGTCTCTGTCGTTTGCTATCATTCTCCAGTTTCTTCTTCCAAGTTGTTGCGCTGTTTGATCCACATGGTCTATCCAGCGTAAACTCAGACGCTCTCTTTTCCTTCTTCCTTCTGGTGCATATATGAAATATTTTTTTATATTTTTATTTTATTATCTATGCTCATTCTTTGAATATGTCCAGCCCATTGTTATTGCTTTAGTTTTACTTTCTTGCTTATTGCTGGTTCTCTTAGCTCTTTTTGACATTAAATCTTAGCCGATAAGTATCGTCTTCTTCTCTAGTTGCGACGTGTAATCTTGCTTTTGAAAATATATGTTATATTATTATATAAAACAACGTTTTTAATATTTTAATTAAACTTCTTTTTGAATAGAAATCGTTCATATATAATACAATAATATAATGAAGTTGCTAGTTATTAAGTTCCTTTTGCTACTGTATGATTTATATTAATAAAAAATTTTTTTATTGTAGGCCTCTGAGCGGAAACTTCCACCTCCTCGTAAACGTGAACTGTCAGCACGTGAAGAACTCTTGGACTCCATTCGTAAAGGACAACAACTTAAACATATACACCCGCCCACTTTACCGCGACTAAAAGATCGGTGTAAGTTTATACAAACTGAATAACAGAATAAAAAGTATAATAGTATCTTCTATAAACATACACCCACAATATTAATAATATTAAAAAAAAGTCAAACGCCGCCATTATTTAAATACATACATATATGTACTTAGATATCAATAAAGGCTGAAAGCTATAGGTGGGCTTTGAGTAAAAATGCAAACAAATCAATAGTACAAACTCTTTGAAAGTAGGTCAACCGATAAGAACTATTTTTAATATTTATTTACAATGTAAATTACATATTTTTTTTCCATATATTAGTTTACAATAGGGAGATGTTTTCTATATAAATTATAATTCATTAAAGAAACATCTGTGAATCATAGGAGCCTTTGTTGCTCATCAAATATTATTTAAAAGCTTTTTAAAATGCACATGCGCTTCTCCTGAAAGCAGGAATATGGATAAACTTTTCATTAACACTCTTTTCACTTGGGGGTTAAAAGCTTAGAGAGCTACAAAAAATGGGGATGTAGTTCGATATCAGAATTATTCCAGAGTTGCATTTTATATGTAAATTTGCATAACTTAAATAACTGCTTTCCATCTTATTATTAAGAAATTAAATAAAAATATGGTAAAACTAAAAGTAATCACTATTACAAGTATAAAAAATATAACTTATGGTAAGTTTCACTTACGTAGGTTTCTGTGCTAATAGTTGATTTTTACTGTAAATGCATTTTTTATGTTTATATATTATATATATATTCAATCTTTAACTCAAACACTTCACAAATGATGTATAAAAGGGGGCTATAGTATATAAATTATATATATTCTGAATCAGCTGTACTATTGTAATCGATATAGTCGCATTTTTCTATACATATGTATATATTGTAAAGTATTTTATTTTTAAGCAGGGTAGGTAGTATCTTAATATCGAGATAAAGTCAATGTTTCTTTCACACAAACATGTTTTAAATTTCATTTAAAGCGATTCAGATTTCCACATAGCTATCAGAAAAACTAACAGCTTAGATATGTACAAGTTTTTCGAGTTTCGAAAAGTAACTCTCAGTGGTTACTCTTTCAAGCCACAACAAATAAAAGTAAAGCAAATGATGCAATTTCTTATTTCTTATGCAAATGATATTTCTTGCTGTTAATTTGTAGTGTTAATTGTGATAGTATATGAGATTAAGATAGCTTACTCGCCTAAAGCTGCCTTTTAGGAACGACCTTTTGCATGGCATGCATAAAGTGCTGTGGAAAGTGCTATAAAGTGAACTTATATTAATGAGATGGGGTCATATGACAATTGTATTATAATCTAAAAGTACGTTGACATCACGTTGTATTCATATCACTTAACATATCAACATAGGACTTTAGGTTGGTCGAACGCACTATACAGAAGTGCGTTCCACCAGCATATTTTCGTGTAAGTTTTACTTGAGTTCTACTACGTGTAGCTCGTGGAACACACCTATTATATTTAATTCCATTTCATATACCTTTGAATGAATTTGATTAAACAAGGGTTGCATTTTTGAACTAAATAGAAAATAAAAAAGTCCAAATAATTTTAATAAGGGTTGCAAATACTATATATAGTCAATTCAAAACGTATTAGAGAAAAACAAATTTTATATTATATTACCTAAATATATATATTTTTTGCTTTTACCTTTAGAACATATCAATGACTAATTAAAATTAAGCCAATACAAATGTATATAAGGACATACCTCTTCTAAAAACGTATATTCGGTGATGAAACAATTGCATGTGAACCTAGCCTAATTTCTATCGATTCGAATAAAGCACGAACAATGAAAAAATAACAAAGACCTGTGCTTTTCCCATATTCAAAAGCTAAACATCTTTCAGTTGTTTATTGAACTCTGCAATGAAACCAAAGAGAATATAACTCTAAAATTGTTAAACAAATTATAAATGATATTATCCATAATATTAGGGACTATTGAAAGGAATTACTAATTAATTTAGTAAAAGTTATTTATAAAATGTAAACAAAGGAGAAATTTAGTGATAGAAATAAAAAATGTGTTAGAAGTTCGAAAAAGTAGTGGCTGCGTAGAGTTCGCCTAACCAATGCTTTCGAACAATTAACAAAAAAAATAATGTGAATCATAAAGAAAAGTAAAAGTAAATGGTTTTGCTATCACCTTAAAAAGCGTTCATTAATATATGTTAACTCTTTAGTAGAGCGAAAAAAACTTAATCTGTGCATTCGAAATCAAAATGGATAAATAGAACAGCAACGCCTTTGCATTTGTTTGTTATATAGAAGCCCTGAATTAGTGGTTTTTTCTTGGTATGGTTATGAACGGAATATATAGTCTACCTACAAAATGTCAACAACAGGTTATCCATCAAATCCTTTGCACAAGTCATACATACCAAATCGTGAAGTTGACGATACTGACTTGGAAGCAGTAGATCTAGCCAGAGATGCCCTGTGTTGTACACAAGATGATCAGCAGCCGCCTGCAGTTGCGCCACGTTATAGCAAGCCAACTGCTGCTCCACGTACAGGTATTGTCACAAACATGCATGGCTAAAACTAAAACTGATTCGATGATCCAAATCTAAAGACTTAAATACGTGTACAAATCTATCTAAATATTAGAAGAACAGATGTGTGAGTCTTCAGACAATCCTTAGACTAATACAAATTTACAGTTCAAAATTTAAAAATTTGATTTTGTGCCTTCTAGTATATGTATATATTTATAAATAGCACGTTATTGAGCTAGCAAATCTGTATAAACTAAGATCTAAAGCTTCAATTCGAATTCACAAAAACTAGCAGATATCCCTTAATTAAGCTAGTTCATGTTTATAACTGAAATCTTAAAATTCATTTCGGAATGCATTATTGAACCAGTACATGAGTATAGACTAAAATCTATTTAATGAAATATAAATATATTTAATGTGTATCAAAATTAAATCTATTTATTTTAAATTTTTAAAAACTTGCTTCTAAATGCACAAAAGGTTATTAAAATTTATTATAACTTCATTTAAACATTATATATACATCAAATTACGGATGAATGAATTTATTAGAAAGACGCTACATTTCCATTTATCCGAATAATGGATTTAACTGAAGAATTTTATTTTCTCTTATTTGTTACTAACAATTATTATGGGTCAATATTATGGAAGAGTAAAAACATATCAAAGATCAAAAAATTATATCGAGTACAAAGGAAGCAAACTAAATTGGTTCTCTTAATAATAACTGGAACACTATCCGAAGTACAAGAACAATACCTGCAGAAATGTTATTTTTTAATAATGCAAAGCATTAACTCAAAGCCATAAAAAATATATGAATAAAGTAAATAACCAGTAATTTCCGTGACTATATTAATAATAATATATACATACATATATGAATGTGTTGGAAGAAAAGAAATTCTTTTTCTCAACATCATTTTAAACAAATTGGCATTTTTTAACCCCTACTATGGGTAATTGTTGACTGCATATCATATTTGGGAATGATATGACAGTTTAATACTATATATAGTTATAGTTATCGAACCTCATTAGCATACTTTTGTATGGTTTGATATGTATAATGGCACTTATTACTACATTTTTGTGGAGTTAATTGTTATAGTGTGAACATATTTTATTCACATATGGCTTTGTATGAATATATATTTTATTTTTCGTCTTATGCTTTCCTCCCTCCCTTTGGGAGGTGCCAAATGGCACTTGATCGTCAATAACAAAGAGTGGCTCCTGGACGTAGACCCACCATTTTTTGGAATTTTCATGTTATAGCTAACTTCGTTTCACTTGTAATTTATATACTTATAATTTTATAAAATTATTTATTTATTTAAAAAAAAACTAATATGACAATAAATTTAATAAATGAAACTTATTTGTAGTGCTTATGTCATCAACATCATCAATTGTTGCTCCTATTGTTACAACATCATCTGCAACTACCCAATCATCCGCACAACCCACATCTGCATCAAGCTCTAACACAAACCTGCAAAACAAAATCAACTCATTAAAAGAAAACCTGGACCCACATATGTCTCGATCAAAGCAGCGGCTCATCAAGGTGGATTTTTCATTGCTAGAAGTAAGTTTTGAAAATATACAAATCGACTATAATAATTCTGGACAATTTTAATTTTTATAAATCCTATAGGACGATGATAATATATTTGATGAATCTATTAGCGCTTCCGTATATACAACCACCAGCACAATGGGTTTGTGTTCACAGCCCAAAATGCCACCTTATCCCATTGGAGGTTTTGTCATATCAAGTAATAGCGGGATGCCCATAATAAAACCACAACAACATCCCACACATAGCGCCCTAAGGCGAACAAGTGAGTATATTATACTAAACTTTAAATTAGTAAATAAATTATTTACTGTTGTTTTTATTTTTATTTGAAAATTATTAATTCTTTATTATTATTATGTTTTTTTTGCTTTTGTTCCTATACGACTTTTATTTTCAAAAAGGTATTTGATTGATATTTTTATTAGTAGCACCTTCTTACATTAGAAGACAACATCATTTATTTAACGAATATATTCGTATATAGTTCATATTATTTTTATGTTAATTAAAATAATTTGTTGTAAGTAAGCTCTCTTTGGTTACTTATAACTTTTATGGTTTTATTGTTGCGGTATTCCACATAGTTAACAAATAAAAAGTTGCTTTTTTAACTAAGAAAACATTTAAGCTTAATATTTTTTTACAATCAAATGCACTTTGTATTGAAAACTATTTGAAAATCGAATGCTGAAGCTAAAGAGGAAAATGGCTCAGAGGACGTTACCCACAGGTCTTACAACACTGAAGCAGAATGTAAATATTGACTACTATAATCTATATTACTATTATAATTACATTCTACCATTTCTACCATTTCTCTCGATTCAAAACGCTTGAATGCTTGTCTTTGCGTTGCCGCTAAACTTTATTTTATTATAGGATTTTCATTGTATTTAAATATATAAATATGTAAACATGGATATTCATTATATACATATATAGATACTCATTAAATCTGATTTTGACATGAAGCAAATGTTTTAAGTAACTATTCTACATAGACACAGTATTCATTAAGACAAAGTTTTTAGAGCATGAGTGCATCCTTTTCATTAAAGTAATATATATGCATATATAATATATACACGAGCACTTGTATATAGCAATAGTTAATATTTTTTTGAAATTGGTTCGCTAGCATATGGTCTATTTTCGGAATGTGAAACACGTCGAACTGCCTCACGACGACATACGATTGTTGGGTGTCAAAGTAATTTCGATGAGAACCACTCAACCCCACCATCTCGATCAGAATCTCGGCAATCGGACGTCAATTCCAATTCTAGTAGTAGAGATATGAACAAACCCAATAAGGTAAATAAGACATTTATTGAAATAGAAATAGCTTTAACAATAAACATCTAATTTATATTGTTTACTGTTTAACAATTTTAGTTGAGCTATTCAAATCAAACACTACTTCAAAGACGAAGAGCTAATAATCAACCAGAGCAATCAAAACTCGTTTCTCATCCCACAGAAGTTGTTCCGGTTACTGATGTCGTCGATTCCAATAATGAAAGTAAGTTATAAACAATAATGATGTAATAGTGAAGTAATGAAGTAAGCGTTAAGAAAAGCAATAACTAATATTGGGTAATTTCTATAGGACCGTGGAATAAATCATTTTTAGATGAAAAAACATGGCAGGAACGAGGTGATGACCGTTTATCTCTCACACTAGAAGAAATTGTGCATATTCGCTCTGTAATGACAAAAGCTGAACTTGAGGGGCTTCCCGTAGGTGTACGTGTTAAAGAGGATGTTGAAAAACGAAAAGTATGTTTCTTATGCCTTCGTACACGTTTTTCCATATTTGGACCTTGGGGTATACAATGCAAATTATGCCAGCGAACTGTTTGTTCAAAGTGTTATACCAAGGTAAACAATATATTCAATTATTATATTTAATTTCTATATGTATTATTGTTTTTAGATGCGCATACCATCTGAGCATTTTCGCAATGTGCCCCTAGTACTTATATCACCATCACTGCTGGCTAGTCCCGCTGGCTCGAATACACCTTCTCCATCACACTATTCTAATCATTCACATTCGGCATCTACTGGTAATATTTTGGATGAAACATTTCCTAAATCCTTAATTGAACGACTGTTACGAGCAGAACCACAAAGAAAGGTACAAAATTAGTTTTTTATAAAAAACTTATGAATATCAAATACGCAATAAAAAAATTCTTGCATACATATAAAATTAGTGAGACAATTGAAAAATCGATATCACGTATCAATTATCGAAAATACATCCAGATTTTGTCAACTAAAACAAAAGAGTGAAACTCGTTCCCTGCTCTCGTAGAGCGTCTCTTTTACACCATTTCTTTTATCTGTCGTAGGCCTATGTTATGTAGAGTGTGAATAGACAAGTCAAAATAAAATTGTTGTTGCTTTCAATGCTAATTAAAAAACTGATAGTCAGAGAAAAAAAGCAAATGCCGGTTTAAATTTGATTATAAGATCCGAGGCTATCTGTGTGTCCTCACTCAGTCAAAGCCGTGTTGTATGCATGTAAGTATATATTTCCTTTACAATTTAGGTACAATAAAAAACTTCAAAAGCAATAGGGGTGAAATAGGGGTATCCGTGGAAGAGCCGCCTAGTCTAGCAAGCTCGTGAAAAAAATGCTGTTTCTATGTAAATGTTGGCTCAAAAATATTGACATAAAAATTATTATACCGTAGACTTTCAAATAATCTCCACAATAATAAAAAAATTCTCTCGCGGGTACTCGGTTTGTCTCTAACGGAGGATCTATGTTTGGCGTAGATTTCATGAACGAATAAAGTAGTCTAATACGACATTTTAAGGAAGCGTTTTCTATTTTATATCCTTCTAAAGCATACAACAAATTCAATAGCAGAAATTGTTAATAACAATTTGTTACCGACTGCTGTCGATATGCAAGTTATATTATATTGTAAACAATTAAATATAAACATTTTAAAGTTTGTACATACATTTAAATAAAATTATTTTTATTTATTATTAGACTCGACACACCGTAGGTAGTGCACCTTCTTCCCCAAAACACCAAAGATCCAATATGAGTACTCCCGGCATCATGACTATGAGCGAAATTACCACTAATACAACAAATTATGCTGCTGCAGTAGCCACAGGTCAAGCGGTTGAGGCAATGTACGACACGGCAACAACATCCTACAAGAGTGGCGTTAATCTAACATCTGATGCGGCATATAATGCTGGCGTTGATGTTATTGGAAGCAGCAATTTCAACAACAACAAAGAATACCACTCTGGTGGTAGTATAATTGCAACGGCAAACTCGACAGCCCAAATCTGTAACAAACATATTAGTAATATGTCTCGTAGTGTAGAAGGTCCTCGAAGCTTGCCTGTGAATAGTCCAGCTCGTCATTATTCAAACAATAGCACCCTAGATAGAAAGTAAGTGAGAACAATTTTAGTTTATAATTTTTTGTTCATAAAATTACTATTACTACCTTTTTTTAGGAATAAATTTGCACGTACATTGGCACTGTCCTCCTCTAGTGCTAACTTTGGCCAAGATCTGAAGGAAAGCATTCGTGGCGAACAAGTACCTGTTTGTAATGACTGCAAAGGCCTTGTTATGGAAATTACAAGATCATCAAAACAAACACGATCATCTGCTCGTAATCGAACTATACGCAATTTGACATTAGACTTATCTCCTGTTTACAAATGAAATCATCCATTACACATCGTATTCTGATTGTTGCCCAATGATATAAATAAGTACGCCCACCTCAACAAATTACATTGTACATTATTATGTCGTAGACATCTCATGGGCTATTTATTAATAATATGGGTTTTTACTTTTGTTTGTGCAACAGTACAAAAATTTAAGAGCAAAGAACAAAAAACTGGAACAAAAATATATTTTAAATATTAGCACTTCTATAGAAATCCAGTTATCGAATAGCAACCTGTATTAAATTAAAAATTAATGTTTCAAACCTTTTTTGGTATAACGTGGATCGATTCCTAAAATTTTTTTGTGTATCATTAAATGTATTGCCTGTTTCATTGTTTCGTAAAAATATGTGTTTAACTATTAAACAATAAATAGCTGTGCTTGTATTAAAATTCCTACAGTTGTATTTAAATTCTTTTTATTTCTATTTCAATTATTTGCACTAGTAATAATTATGAAACAAACACACAAAAACTGATATTTATATACGTATATGAAGAAATGTTAATTTATATATTTAGACTATTCATAATGTCTTAAGAAACTAAAGAATTAATTTTAATATAGTGTAGTTTTCTTTTTAGTTAATTTAAAATAAAAGAACAAAAAATTAATCATAGAGAAATATATCCAATATATGTAAAAAACCCTATACCTTTGATTGATGAGATATCTTATTTGTTTGTTTGTTATTTATTTATTTTAAACATATATAATAAAATGATTTAAAAGCTAATAAATGATGCAACCGTATGTATAAAAAGAAAATTAAAATGCATTCTGAGCAGAACATTTATTTATAATAAACTGAACTAAACTTATCCATATTTATGTATATCAATTGACGCAAGCAGGAATAAAAAAATATTTAAACAAATAAACTTTGAAAGTAGTTTATTTTTTTATGATTCTATTGTAATCTAAAGTAGAGTGCAGTCCCGGTCATCTATTTTATTTGAGCGTTGCGATATTTTTATTGTAAACGTATATGCCCTTATTATGCAAAAACAAAAATTTAATTAAAATATAAGATTTTAATGTTGTTGTTGTAACTCGGTGCGACCTGAAAGCAGATAACATGAAAGAATTTATAAGACCATTACTTGGGTTACGATGAAAATGATTGGTGGGAGATGGGGAATAGGAAATTATGAATAAGACTTTTATAATTTAGAACGCTTAAAACGATCCAGTGTTCATCTTAGCACGCGAATCTGACTGTAGCGCACATTCTAAATAAATGTTCAATTCTTGTTAATAGAGGCGTCATGTTCGCTTATATACGATGATTCCTAATGTGATGTCCACACTAAACACATTTTGTAATATTATACATTAAATACTTTTATAAATTTTTGTTTTTAATTTTTTTTTGTACATTTTCAACCGACAAATAAAAAATTACTATGAAAGTGAAAATAAAAATAATGGTTGAATATGATTAACAGTTTCCATTTTTATATTAACAATGTAAAAATCCAAGAAAACAGTAATTGTTAGGAAACCATAATTGAGCTGATTATGTTTTGTATATATGTATTAAAAAATTTCCTAGAATTATAATTTAAAATATAATCGTATTAATATTCATTTTTCGCATTTGTCTTCGCTTCAGAGATAACCTCGCATCTCTTAAAAATATTAACAATCAATAATACCGGAGGTAAAATGGCCTATAAAAACCCAAACAACCCATTTATAACTGGAAGCAACAGTAGCTTGAAGTGCATTTTGCAATCAAATTATTACTTAATAAAAATTGTAATGTATTAATAAAATATTCTGCTAACATTTCTATATAAATAGCTGCCATTTAGTTTAATTAAAGTACAATGATTGCATAAAAGGTTAGACAGTGTACTACCTAGTGCCCATAATGGAAGACAAACGAATATTTACACAAATAAGACGTTATTATTAAATTGTTATATATTTTAAATATACATTTTCTCTTAGTATAAAGGTCCTTATGTTTATTCTTAAACAAAAGTGGAAATTAAAAAAAAAAGATACATTTCGTATTTAAATATTGAAAGTTTGGTAATAATTATTAATGATTAAAATTCATGTTTATAATCAAAACTTAAATAATCAACTTAATTCGAATGTAAATAAAAACAGTTTAGTTTACACCAAATTCAACATATACAATATGATGTATTCAGGAAATTTTCTTTTTATTCATTTCGAGGTTTTTTGGCGCCAGACCTATCATTTCCGTTGTAACCAAATCCTCGACGCTTTCGACCACCTTTATTCTTCTGCGTTTTACGTCGAGTGGACATTTCGTCCGCTGCCTTATTTAGATATTCAGTTTCCTCTTCGTCACGTAGCAATCGAATTGTCAACTCATCCCCATTTTTTAATTTTAACTAAACGAAAAACAAAATATTAATGATAATGATAAAAGAAGTAAATTACCTTGTTATCCTGAAGTTTTTCGACGAACTTACAAGCAGCATTTTCTTCTTTAAAACGGATATGACCGTCCTTATCACCTTTTGAAAAGCATACATAAGCAACTTCAAAATCACCACCGCTTATATCTTCTACCCCCCATCGAAGCATTTCACGCGTAACTTCATCAGTCACGTCTTGGAAATGCACCACAGCGCCTTTTGGCAATTTCAATACTTCCTCGGCAGCTTGTTTTTTTCCTTTCTTCAATTTCGGTTCTTTTTTCTTGTCATCCAAATACTTGTCTTGCCACAAACGTATTATTTCACGCTCCTTGCACACAACCTAAAAATACGCGATATTTATAAAAAATGAAAGTTAAAATTTTTTACTTTATAATTTACCCTATCCTTGTTGATAAATTCTTCCGCCTGCTCACGTTGCTCAAATGTAACGAAAATGCTTCCCTTAAATTTATAGGTTTTCGAAGCCTTATCGAGATATTTTCTCATAACTACATTAACAACAGTGTCAAAATCAGAGAAAAAAGATAAGAGATCACTCATTTCCATATCCAAAGGAAAGCCTTTAGCATATGCTGTGCGTGCCATAACATCTTTACGTCGCTCCTCGTTATATTCTGGAATTGGGCGCTCTGGGTGGCGGCGAATCTTTTTTTTATCATCACTGATTTCAATCAAACCTTCATCTGATTTCATTAAAGCATTCACTATTACTTCAATATCTTCGGTTAATGATGCAAGCCGCTTAAAGGTAATAAGTACGGAAAACGGAACCCATCCATTCTCGTCCTTCTCGATTTGCGTCAAAAGAAACTTATCTCGATTCAAGTTGGCGTCTCCAAAATAATATTCGACTTGTCGTATGATATCATGCTCGAGTTTAGATGGAGCACCTGCAGCGTCTGTCGCGACAATATCAGAAACCTTTTCTACCTCAGCGGTCTTTCCATCTTCAGCAGGCGCTTCAACCAGTTCCTTTTCAACAATCAAAGCACCAGTGCCAGCGGTTTTATCGCTTTCTTCACCCATAATGCAAAATGTTTTTATATTTCAAAATCACTGCGTACCCTCCAACCAACACGTGCAATCACCACGATAGAAATGAACGAAATGCGTAAGCGGCCTTCGAACATCGAACAAATAAAAAATTGAACATACCGCACGTCATGCACGTCCGCAAACCATATCTTTTTTACGTGAAATGAAGAATGAGAATACCGCATATTTTTAAATTAAGCCTTACAATATTAAGAAAACCGCTCAATATATATAAAAATTATACAAAAAATTCTGAAACAAAAATCATACAAAATATCTACAAATATTTCCACAACATTGAAATTATGTAATATTTTACTCGTAGTAAACTCAAATAAAACATAAGTAAAGTACAAACTGATATGGCGTTTACACTGGCCAAAAATGGCTCATTTTGAATGAGCCATTTGAAAGTGTTTACTTTCGTTGTAATTCGTTTGTTCTCATTTCAAACAGTTGATTTTTCAACTTGCCTGTTGGTTTGATTTTTGGCCTGTGCCAAAAATGTTGCATGAAGGTTAAATATACCTTCAAACCATACAATATAAACTTAAAACATATTTTTAACTTCGATTAATTATTTTTTGGGAAGTAGACGTTCTAAAAAGAGGTGCATCGTTTTCAAGAAATTGCAACCACTAAACATTTGTTTACCTTCTTTTGTAAATGTATCAAAAACCTCTTTCTCAAACTAAAGACAATAAGTCTTTAGTTCAAAAATGTACTCATTTTTCCAAGCTCTATAATTGAACTTTTGTTCAGCAACCAAAAAATTGGTAAAGCTTTTGATACATGTTGAAAAGACCAGAGCTGTTTTGTGGAATTGCTTAAATTGATATTTTTAGCAACATTCTGTTACAAACGTATGTTGATAATGATTTGGTAGTTTATGCAAAAACAAATTACCTTGTATGAATATTGTAGTTTTTAACATCGTTTATCTTCTTCTTTTTGTTTTCAATATGGGTATAGAGACAAGAGTTTTTTCTTCGATTTAATAAAAAAAAAATGCCATTATCTTGCTGCCGAATATTGATATAAAATGAAATAATAAACATGCATCAAAATAAGCAATGCTGTTTTTTTTTGTTATTAATGCATTGAATCAAAATTACAACTGTTATCCTAAAAAAATTCTTATGCATAAATATATTTTTCTTATGTTTAACTTGATTCTAATAGCAATGATAATGATATATATACATATGTACATAGGTACATATATATTTGCGTATTGTTTTTGGTAGGAGGACAAGAAATTGTGAAATTGTGTTACTTGTAGAGATTTTAATAGAACTAATTTTGATTTTATTTTGCGGAGTAATATCGTCTGCAATCCAATTTTAGATTTTAATTAATACTTAATCACTTATTCATAAGAGTAGTTTTTTTTTAAGTTTTAATTTTTAACATTTTTCGATTTTTGTTATTTCAAAATATTAACTTATTATTGAAAATGTCACATTGAAAAAAAAGATATATAAAAATATTGAAGGTTAGTTTGTGATCAAAGCCCAACAAACCAAGCCATTTATAGAAAATCCGATATTTCTAAAAATAATCCCTTCTTTATTTTTGAAACTGGGAATGACAAAAAAAAATATTTTGTTTCTTTGATATTCCTCACATATTTAAATCGATTCGTAATAATTTATTGAGATATCGTTTAAAAGATGGTGGTAATAATTGTGCCAATTGGGAAGTTTTGAGAGAGTTGTACCGAATTGACTCGCAGTCATCTATTCGAGTGTGTCCAAGACTAAGATCTAAGCATATTGCCCCGGACAGATTCCAAAAAATGAAGGTGAACTTAGCTGTTCAAGTTCTCAGTGCCAGAACCAGCGAATTTGTGTACCTGTGTTGTGAATACCTGTTGTGTTTATTAAATAAGATTCATATATATCCCTATTATTTATTAGTCAACTTTATTTTCAACTTTTGTGAATTAATTTTTTGTTGTAAGAATATACTGTTAAGATAGATGTTAGTGTAAGAAATATAATTTATAAAAATAAATTTATTTAACATAATAGAAAAATTATTTTGTACATATTAATAAAGATCATAATTAAAAATGATGAATATTATTATAATGCATTTTTATTTCAGAGACAAGTTCAGATATTGGATTTTTTCCGAGTAGAAAAGCAACAACCTAGCTGAATGGTAATGCCTTGCGGTGATTATTCAAGGGAAACTCCTAAATACTTTAACACGTGCATGTCATTGCGGGCAAGCGCTGAATCGTTCGATTACCTTTTCAAATTTGTAATGCAACATTTATTTCAGCACTGACATGTTCGCTTACCTTTTCGAATTTGTAATGCAACATATCAGCGCTGACATGTTAGCTTACTTTTTCAAATTTGTAATGCAACATATCAGCGCTGACATGTTAGCTTACGTTTTCAATTTTACCTGTGCTATTGATTTTTAAATAAAATACTAAAATTTTTTTGGATGAATTATATTTTATATTTATGTTTTAAAAAATTAAAATATTAACATTTACATAAAACAATATAACACAATTACATATTTATATAAAAGAATATTTTTCTGTAGAATTGACTTGAGGCTTGAAGAGATTTCCAGACTCGACTCGATCACTTGTTCCGGCTTACCATCTGTCCTTAAAGCAACTGTAAATACAAAAGTATGTTATTGTATACACTAAAGTAAATTATGTACAATATACCATACCATTAGTAGACACAACCATTAATTGTAATTTATGAGTATACTTTCTCCTCTGGTCTAATTTACTTGAAAATTTGCTGATGGAACGCACTTATGTATACATTGTGTAATTAAAAGTTACTACGAGTAGCTCGTGGAACAGACCTATTGTATTTGAATTTATATTTAAATTTTTTATTTATTTATTTATTTAAAATTTTTATAGCTCCACCTCTTCAGAAAGCATTACGAAATCATCAGTAAATTCGTTTATATAATTTTCAAACTTCTAACATTACTAGTTAATACCAAATAAACAGTATTTAACATTATTTTATTTTTCATGCAATTGTCTTATAATTTTTTGCTTTTTTTATAACAACTGTGTTTTATATTTGTTTTTGATTTGCACTTGTGAATGAGCATAATGCATAAATTATAAATTCCCTAATAAATATTTAACGAATATCTTCTTCACAATTATTAACCTGTCAGTCATCTTTACGAATTTTATTAAAAAAAATACTTTCATAAAATATTTAAACTTTATTTTTCATTAATATTAAATATTCACACACTTGTTTTAAAAATTGAAATCGAAATTGCACTCAGAGTTTATTTTCATGCGAGTTTTGACTTATTTAATAACTTGTTAAGTGTCTTTCGTTGTTCAAGAATAATCACCGCATATTATACTTTATTTATTTTTAAACTCTAATTATTATTTTCTAATTATTTAAAATTATAAAAAAATTATTATAAAATATTTTTTAAAACTAATATATAGCATAATGAAACCTCTTAAACCATGTCAAATATAAAAAAATTTTTATATATATATTATATTTTTTTTTATATTTATATCGAACTCATGATTCTTTGTATTCCATTGTTAGTGTTTAAAATATGAAAAAAAATGTATAAGAGCATTAAGAAAGAAATAAATGTATCCAGCATGAATGCATGGAATTTGTTCAGAATATTGAATTTCACAACAATTTTTCAGAGTTTTTAGCAATTATTTGCGGACCATCCTTCTTTCTTTTTTATATACAAATATAATGAAGGATTTAACAATACATTGAAATTAAATAAATAATTCATCATATTAAACAATTTTAATATATGTATATGGCATCAGAGGAGTTCATTTAATATTTTAAGTATTGACGTTAGATTATTATAATGCTTCCAAAAATAATAATTCAAATTAATTATTAATAAATTACTAAATAATTAATTAACTTATTAAAAATTTATTATAATTAGTTAACATATTTACATATTATTGTGTTGTAATGTAAATGTGTATAAGAAGTTTTAAAATTTGTATGATTTGCGGTATGTTCAATGATTACGTTTTCTTTTAATGAAGTGAAATAATAAGCAAAAATTTGAACAATTGTAAAACTTATTTTACATTTAAATTTATCACACAATGATATAAATTAAATTATAAAAATTATGCTCTTTTTTTAATTGAAGATTTCAAAGTTTAGAAAATTTTGTTATATTAAAAATAATGGCAGATTTTTATTTAAACGCAAATATGAAATTATTAACTGGGTTAATAACATTCAAGACAAAAGATCAGCTTATTTTTTAATTACATGTTTTCAAATGTTTGTTTTATATTTTGTAAAACATAATTTCGATGTTTCCTGCTTGATGTTGTCAGGCGACAGGGAACAACGGAAATATAATAATCAATTAATTAAACCAACACAGACAATTAACTAACTGTTTCCAAAAACCTCTGTTGATGCATATTTGGCGGTATACAAAATTCTATGATCAGTCCAGAATTTGCTTCATTTCAAATTAAAAAGTTTTTATAATTTTCGTAAATTATTAATTTTAGATTTAGTGTTATAATTTTAGTTCTTAATCATGAAAATAAATTATAAATACACATCAATTACAACAAAAATAGCAACAGATCATATATTCGTAATAAGTGCAACATGTTATTGATGTTATATTTTTCTAGACCGCGCTTTCATGACAGTTCATATATTTAGTAATCCATAGTCCAGGTATAATCTGGAGCAAGTAACAAGTTCTCTACTGTACCGCTCTATTCTTTATATGCGCATAAACCACAATTTTTTACTACAGGACATAGTGCATCTGTTGTATTAAATGCTTTCTATATGCGTGCAATATACATAGGTGTATACACATATACATGTATATTTTTATATATATACTGTGTGTACATATATTTATTCCCTACCATTGATGTAGCACTAATATTGTGATCCAAGTATGAGTTCTACATGTTGGGCATACCGGAATGGATGGCATTTCGTGATTGGCTGCAATAACTGAGAAACATGACTTTGTACAACCAAAAACAATCTTATTAATTAACCATGCGATATGTCCGTGAACCATACGACATGATGTATTATATGCAATGAAGAAGTGTGCTTTTGAATTCAGCATATACAACTTACATATCTAACAAAATGAATGTCGGCTTTTACAGGAAATAAAGCCAAATGCATAATTGAAAATTCCGAGTTTTTTTTTTTTTTGAATCAAAAAAAAATTCGCATATTCAAATGTTCATTTATTAATACTAAATACATGATAAGCCATTTTACTTAAATGTATAAAAATGAGAAACATCTAAACGCTTCTAATTAAACATTTTCTTAAATTTAATAAATGTGCATAAAACTTCGTTAATGTACTGAGTTAGCGAGCACGTGTGAATATCTATGAAACAGTATATTAGGTTTTTATACATTGTGAGCGTATTTACATTTTTCATATTAAAAAAAATAAATTTTTATTTAAAAAAATTCTAATAAATCGAAATCCGGATATATTCATAAACTCCCAGTGGTTGTCGCCTCTAAAGGTGGTGGAGTATCGTGACTGCTGCTGCTGGCATTACTTTCAGGAATAGGAGTTGGTGGCTGTGATGTGGATGGCTATTTAAGTAAAAATAATATATGGCACATCAAAAATTTTTTATTGAATATAAACAAAAATTAGTTTAACATTATACAAATAAAGCAATGTACAAATGTTTGAACTAAGCTCACCAATGGATTAATAGTTGTTGTTGTTTGTGAACTTGGTGATCCTGGAGTTTCGGTTTGTGCTGGTTCTTCCTCTGTTGTAGTAGATGCGGCAGCAGCTTGTTGCTGTTGTTGACGTTGCTGTTGTTGTTGTCTAGCTGCATGAGTAAACTTAGCTTTGGTTTCCTCCAATTCACGAATACGTGATCGAGCGTGCTGTATACGATGCCATGCCATTTGCAATACCTTAGCTGAAGAATAACCGGAGCCTTCGTGAGGTTGACCAGTCGACACTTGGGTTAAGTACATAATTTGTTCTGATAGTCGATTTTCTATATTTGCAAGAGATTTGATGTATTGCTGAGTATGTGTCTCTGCATTTTTCTGAGAAGACTTTTCCTTACTAAGTTCTTGAATAGCTTGACCTAAGGATCAATTATATTAATTAAAATTATTATATTACTTGCAGTAATTTTACCAGCGCTTTGCAAACATAATATTATTTCCTTTTCTATGTCATCTAAGTGATGCATTTTATCAAGTGGATTAATTGGTACATTCATTGTAAATTTAAATTCAGTCGCACAATTTATATTTAGTAACTTTAACAATTTTTGTTTCTGTTTGATTGAGTTGTAGAGTACAAAACAGTATTGCCAAGCCAAAAAAAATTTGTTTGTTTTAAAATCAATACTTGAAACCAACATTTTCCTTTTTAGGAATTTTTTAAGCGGATATTGAACATCATACCTGATTGTCAACTTGATGCACTGATGTGTGAAATTTCAACAAAGTCTTAAGGTGCATCAATATCCAAACGAATGCTTGCGAACGAACCAACATTAGCAGGTAATGTTCGTTCGCTCATATTTGCTCTAATGTGGGTGTACCGTCAATCAATTTCAATTAATTTATTTGCATCAATTTAATTTCTAAGTATTTGTCGATATCAAATATAAATTGGAACAGCGTTGCATGTATATATCCAATCGTATTTGACAGCTCCGAATACATGAAACTTATTAGTGAAAAATAAGTTTCCACATGGAAAAACAATTTATATTGTAAATGAACTAAACTTTTTTTTTAAAACATCCTTTATTGGATATTAGTAGTACAATCTTAACTATTTGTTAATTTATTACTATTGCTGAATTGTACTTAACACGTATTAAGTAATACGAGTGTGCCTTTACTAAACTAATGTTTAGTACCCATACAATGAACTAAATGGAAAAAATTTTTAATTTTTCAAAACTATAAAAAATTCAACAATATGTGGAAATTGCTTATTACTATTTACTAACCTTATTTTATTATGAAGTCTTAATTTATTTAAAATTAATTTATCTTAATTATATACCGAATAAAGGATACACACACATTATAAATATTTTATTTTTTCTTTATTTTATTTTATGAACTAATAAAAATATAGTGTGTAATAATGAAGTCTATTTCATGTAGACTTGAAAAAATAATTTAACATTTGCACAAAAAGTTTGTGCATATCCACTTTTATTGACACTTCAACGAATACTTTATACAGATGCATGTTGAAAAAAATGATGATAGTGAATGTCGGGAAATCGTAAACGCCATCATACCAAGTCTTCAAGTATAATGAATGTATATTAACCATTTTATAGTTAATAAAGTTAATCATTTAAAACTTAAAAACAATGTGAATGTAAATATAGAATATATTGAATTAAATTATTCAGTTAATTTTAGTTTTAATATGACATATCTGAAAAATTTGTTGCATTTGTTTTAAAACATATGTATTTAAAAGAAATGTTTCTGCATGAAATGTTAAATTTTAAGTATTCTTTGAATTCGTTTTCTTTGAATTCAATATACACAATTGTGGACATTTATTTAAATAACAATTACATGAATTTAATGTTTTAAAAAAAATACAGTGCTTGTGATTAGTCTTTCATCTTATAAGATCAATATTAAATAATTATAACAATAAATTTATATATATATGTATAATTTATTGTTATAATGACCAAAAATTTTTAGTATCAATTTTGTTTTTAAAGGGACTGATTGGTCAAATTAAGGTAGCCAATTTTAGGTAAAAAAAAACATTACTCCTAAATAAAAGAGGGTGTTGGTAACTCTGTCGCCATATGACAGTTGTCGAATTTTTTGTGATTTTCTTGCGGTGGCGTACTTATCGCCAATATTATTTTGCATGTATATTTATAAAATAAAAGTGTTATACCAAATAAATATTATTTTAATAAACCAATTAAAGACAGTGCTAAATGTAAAATGAAAGTTGAAAGGACGTTGTGTTAAGATTATAAGATTGATAGAGTGAATTCAGTGTTATGTGTCATAAACAAAGAATTTAAATGTTCATTTCTTTTGAATTCTCTTTCTTTCCCATATAAGTAATAAACACTCAAAATTTGGTAAGTAATATTTTTTAATAGCAATATAAAATTTTTTTTTATGTTTTTAGGCTGATTATAAATAGCTGTTTTTATTTATTTTAATCACACCGTCTGTCCGTCCCCGGATACAAATTTTTACTTAGTAATTTTTGTTAAAATGATTATTTGATTCAACGAAAAACTTTTTATTAATAGAACTAAAACTGTTTGGGTTGGACTTGAGAAAAGTTGAAGTTTCTTACTTATTTAACTATATGCTATAGCAAGTAGTTTATTTAATTAGTTAATAGTTAATTTTTATGGTGATAAATGCTCCTATTCACATATACGCCAATAGGTCGTATTGTGTGCTCCCACAGGGAATTACATTTTGTATTCAGTTCTAACGTTTGGAGAGTTTTTCAATTTCTTATTACTCTATAACTAATTTGAAATAGTCTTTATTGACAGTAAGTATGCAAATTGCATTGCTAACTGTCAATCAGTTTACTTATTCCTTGTCACAGCAGTTGCCCATCAATACTTTGTAGATCATAACAAACATATCTGCATTGAGAAGATTAACGATTTTTGTGCAGAAAATAGAATTTTACAATTAACTGAATTAGTGATGACACTAACTAACTCACAAGTATCCAATAGTTTGAACACTTACAAGGTACAAAGTATCGGTAGTAGAACTCTTACGATATGGTTTATATTGTCTAGTAAAAATAGATTTCTTTCATGTTAGTGTAGGTTTGAACAGAGTTGAGATTGCTGGTGGGATATTTAACGGGTCACCATGGACTGTATTATCACCTTAATAAAATGGGTCTGTCCGAAGAGATGGAGTGTCGACTCTGCTTAGAAGTAGACGAGACTCCCAGTCACATTCTCTGTGACTGTCCAGTTTTGATCTGGGCCAGGAGAAAGTCATTGTGAGGAGAGTTATTCTCCCCTTCTGACATTAGGAGATCCACAACGGCCGACATTCTGGCCTTCATTCGGAAAGCGGAATGTCTTCTGTGCGGTTAGGATCTGTTGCAGCACAAAAGATCAATCTGGTTGCAGTGCTCCGTTCCGTAAGGAGCGAGTACCCTGTTCATTTCTATTCCTGGTGTAGGTTTATTCTAATTGCTGTATACCCTCTTCTTTTAACGATAATTTAAAGTTTAAACTTATATGTTTTTTAAACTCACTCTTTACTCTCTCTTTATTGTTAGGAGTATTAACATTAGAATTAATTTCTATTACTCTGATAAAATTAAAATTATTTTTGTGAAAGGGTGGTTATAAGTCAAACTTTTAGATATCTTATAGATTGATTACTATATTCCGTGTAAATATTTCTGATTAATAAAAGTTAACGCATCTGAGTTGCTAAAATAAAATTATTTTGAATTTTAAACTATTTTAATTATAAAATGATAATATGCATTAGATATTAGTTTTATGTGGTAAACCTAAAATTGACTGGTATTTTAAATCTATAAAAAATGTAGCGAAAGCTACCTTTTACCATTTACGCGTATTCAACAAATAATTGACCATGTTACTATTGTTGTGGGCGTGGTATTCTTCTGTATACAAAACTTCTGTGGACATTGAGTACTAGTAATGTTTTAATCAATTTTGTCTTTCAATGTTTATCATTTCCTACAAATGAAGTTTCTTAAGATCAATTCTATCTTAAAACTTAGCAACAAATTTCTCGACATTGTAAACATTTTTCAAACCCCATATTTAGTTGTCTAAAGACCAATAGAAGTAATAGAAGTTTTGTCAATAAATTTAATTAGCCTTGATTGCGTAGGAATGTATTTAAATGCTACGTAGATACATTTCAAATAGTAAATACAAGTATTTAGAAGCGAAAACTTATCTTGTAACAGTGTCCTATATCCCAATTCACGTATCGTGGATAACTAGTACTTTAATAAAACCATTTCAGATGCGTAAACGATAAATCGGAAACGTGTTTCAAAGTAAAACAGGCGATCATACAAACAAATAGGCAGACAAATGATCCAAATAAAATGTACTACCAGGCAATATTTAGATTAATACAATTATTACTAAACAACTTCAACAACATTTTCTCTAATTAACATATATACAATATGTTTTATAAAGATTACAACAAAATATATACTTTTTTCCATAATTAATACTTAAAGTTTTCAATATTTCAAATACCAATTGATAAATATTTTTGCGATAATAATTTCTTACGGGAATTAGTTGTTATCACACTATAATTAATAATGTTTTGATCATAAAATTATGATTCATCTGTTATTTTTTCTATATACATTGTTTTGTTTACGAAAAAAGACAGTGGCATCTGTGAAGATCCCTTCTGTATATAGGGATATATACGATATATATATAAAACTTATATTGTCACCACAAGACAGGTTTTTCACAATATATGAACTAACTTTCTAGTCTACTTATTAGGTTAAACTTAAAACTAAGATGATCACTTACATACTGTAGGCTCGATTAACTACAATTATGTATACACAGAGAGTTTATAGGAGACCCAGGATACACTCTTCCAGGTGCTATTTTAGTGTGGACAGCATTTCTACTCGCATCAGTAAACAAAATAATTTTCTATTTCAAAAATGGTGTTTTTGCATTGCAGAAGAAAGAAGTAAAAATTTCTTTAAAGAGTAATTCTCACAATATTAAATATATTCTCAAATAGACGCAAAAATATGTCCCCCATAAAAACTTTTAAACATTGCCGTATGCACATGTTCCCGTTCAATGTATAACAATTTTTTACTCTTCAGTATTTGTTTGTTAATACTTATATATTTTATACACATGTATTTATAGTTGTGTATATGTATATACATAAATATAATTTATTTAAAAAAATTGAGTTTTTAATCATATGCTCAACCTCCGAAGATGGCACAAGTTCATCTGCGTCGCAATAAAAGTGTCAGCGGAACATTTCAAAAATTTCAAATTCTTGAATCCATTTTCGGAGTACGAGCTATATTGAGAAGAATGCTAACAGCTTCTCTCTCATTGAACGAAGGATAGCAATTAACCATGTACAATTGAATTGAAATTTTAATGATTTTTTATGAAATTAAGTAATGAAAAAATAAATAAATGTGCTTTTTAATTATATCACATATAAAATTTATAATTAAACACAGCTCTCTATTAACATTCACGATTGCTAAATATATAGAAGTGTTCTGAAATACCTAACATACAGAATAAGAACAAGTTT